GCTAAAGCAATTAAAAATACATTCTTGTTAGCAGACTTCATGTTTCAAAATTGCAGTGATGTTTCGTACTATTCATTTGTTACGAGGAAAAGTTTTAGGTAAGTTTCATCGAAAATTGGGCAAGGAAGTTGATCTCATTATCTGTGATAATTATTCAGGAGATATATGGCGAAAATTACTGTCCAATTACCATAAGTAATTTTATTTTACTTTATTAAACTGCGAAGAGTTTAAAAAGTTGAATTATATAGGCGCGATTATGAGTAACTGCTTCATTTCCAGCAGTTTTATTTATGATTTTCATCATAGATTTCATGAATATATAAATATTTGCTAATTTTTTTAGTTGAGTTTGGCACTGTGAAATTGCAACATTTTAAAATTTGATTCAAATTCTAATCAGCAAAGAATGATTAAGTTTTTAGCGGATGAACAAGTGAAATTGTTTGTGTCAAACAGTAAGAAGACCACCGAAAATAATGGTACTTTACCGGTGTTGCATGTTTGTTGGTTCCAGCTAATGCACATGATTGGAAATCCAGCATCAATAATTTCGTTTGAGCCTCGCACTTCCAGGGCTCTGCCATCAAATGTTCTCAGTGCTATGATGACAACTGGTAAGTAAAATTCTCACGTTTTGATCAATGCAAGTTTCTTATTAAACTGTTAACTTCTGACTGTATAATTATGATAATGGATTGGTTTTCTGTTCCTGAGAATGTCTGTAGGATTTGCTACTTGATTTATAATTGGTAAAACTTGTTAAAAATAAGATTTAAAAAAATTTATTGAGACTAAATCTTAACTTTAAGAAAAAGACAGTAAATATGCTTAGTTTATCATCCATCTAACAAAAAACTTTGGATTTAACTACTCACCAAATTAAGAGTAGTTAAATCCAAAGTTTTTTGTTAGTTGGATGATAACTAAGCATATTTACTATCTTTTTCTTAAAGTTCAATGTTTTGATCATTTTAAAATGATAACTTTGGTTAGAATTACTAATATTTTAATGAGTAATATTTGGTGTGTAATATTTAATAAATAACATTTAATATATTTTAAATTCAACTCTCATAAGTTTCTTAAAAATATGTACCTTTTTCCTTAACTAATTTGAACTTGCTTCAAAGATGGTGCAATGAGCAGTGATGGAAATCCACTAGTTGAGAAGTTCGATGAAGAGCTCACTGAGTTCACTATCAATAGCTTAAAACGGTGTTTTTTCATGACATCTGCTGCTGTAATGAAATTGGTCGATGTATTTTATGGTTGGTTAACTACTTAGTTTTAAAATGCTCAATTTAATATTATTTCAAATGAAGATAGACTTTCAATCATAATTCAAACTTTAAGAGGGATAATTAAAAAATTAAAATAACTCACAATACTCTATTTACTGTTTTATTTGAGAAGTGAAGGAGCTATTCATTAAGTTTCTTTTATTGATTGATTCAAGTTTCTTGAGACTCTAGATAATTAAATTTGCAGTATGTTTCATAAGCACTTTTTCAGGAGATAGTCGTGTGGTTATAGATTTTCGAGAATCCGATGACTTGATGCGACTTTGGTCTGATTTGAATCGCTCTGTATATGAAGATTGGTTGAAACATCAACAGGTAATTTTGTGAAAATAACCGTCATTCATATATGTCTTCTTTTTCCTATATTCTATTTTGATCGTATAAGAGCAGTTTCTCTTCTGATTTCAGCGATTTCCGCGAAGCTCGAGTAACTCTGTAGGTGCAACTGGAGATAATGAAACGTTGGCAGCAGCTCAATCAGCTATGGCAACAGGCGGAGGAAGCGGTGGTGGTTTCAAAAATGCACTTGGTGTTCCCGGTGTTTCAAAAAGTCGTGCTACTTCTGGTGAGTCAAAATACTGATAACGTGAAATTATTTTTCAGCTATTAAAAAATATGTCTTCAACGATTATTTTGAATTGATGAGAATATTGCTATGTTATTTCATCAGACGATAAACTGATTGATTGACTTAAAAAATGAGCCAACGAACAGGTGCGCACATTAAAAATATCGTTGTAAAACAAAATAATAAAATGATATGTGAACTTGGCAAATCCTGCTAATTTTTCTTATAATGTTACATTGTATTATTTGATTATAATTAGTTCAATGTTTTAAAATCTTCAGAACGTTCATTAGCTACAAGTATAACGGTATCCTCACCTGTCGTTGAGGAGATATTATTGGAGATTCCAAAACCCAATTCAGCTCAATTTGTTTGGCATTATTTGCAGAGTAATTTCATTTTACTATGTTTGCAAATACGATTAATCTACTTTGTAATACCGATAACATTATGTTCTACTAAATAATTCTATAAATGGTGGACTTACTTTATAAAGATCAAAAAGAATGCTAATTTTTAGTTGTAGCACTGTTCTCAATTAGAAAAAATTTTACTTTTTTCATACCGGCCTATATTCAGAAATTCAAATTTGGTGAAGGTTTATTGCCATGTTATATCAATTTAGGTAATAAAGTTTACAAGCCATACCTTGGTGAACATCAACCAAAAGTGGCACGAATGTTAGATACTTTTATGGATTGGCTTGTGCAGTCTTCACTCGTGAGACCTCTTCGATCTCCAGCAGATGGTAGGTTCCAGTTTATTTCAGAATAATCCTGAAACTTTTTATTACCTAATGGGCTCTTCGTTTCTTTAAATTTCATTACACTTCTCTTTAAAACGACATTTATTATTTGTTTAACTATTGTTCTCTATTTTTCGATGGTTCCAGCAACAGAAATGATTATCATTAATTGCTGGTTTTCAATTTTTTTTTTTAAAACCTTTTTATCCAGGCCAATTTTTTCAAAGAGAAAAAATCTCTTGACATGAGATCTTATAATGCAAAAGTGCAGAATCATATTTTATGGACTTGTAAAAAAATATCAACAGAATTTCCTAGCATTGTTTGCTATTTTCGTCAATGCTTCTGACTAGTGCATTGAATGTCAGGTTGCAGAGGTCGCCTTATAACATTTTAACTTTATAGTTTCTAATTCCGTACAACAGTCGAGATTGTATTACTTTTTAAGTACTGTTTCCAAAGGAACTTCGCGAAATAGTTTATAAATTCATATTTATCGGATCTAGAGAAGGAACTTAATTACGCTAATTTTTAAAAAATCACTGCACATTACTAATGCATATTACTATTGTCATTAAAATGCAGTTTCCATTTACAGATACTGTACAGGCACTTTCCGCTGTGCTGCTTTTGTTTGTTCAGGCTCTGCGTGCCATCGCTTGTATATGTTATGTATTTTGAAATGCTTTCGATTCGTTCTTCCTGACTTCTTCTATTTCTTTTAAACCTGATTGATTTATGTGTGCTGTTTTCTACATATGCATATAGAATCACTTTTCTCTTACTTTTTTCACCTACTTTGATTTTCTTTTGTGATTACCGGCGCTCGTGGAAGTTTTTTTTGTGAACCTTTTACAAAAGTTTAAGGAAAAATACACATCAAGAATATATATACTCGATTAACTACCTCTTTCATTAGTTCAATATAGGGAATATTAGTTTTTTCTGCCATCCATTGTATCTTCTTTTTATATTCTTGATGTGTGTTTACAGCCACTTAAACATATGATTTCGGGAGTGATGTTTTTCATCTATATGTTTGCTTATTTAAGTTTCCATTTATTAGTTTACTTCAAGGTTGAACTGTGTAATTTAGCCAGCAGCATATGAATGAAATTAATTGTTTAGTACATCTATTGTTTTTAACAGAAGTTTGGCAGGCTTTTCTAAATTCGATGATTATTTGGAAAATACCGAATCCCGAATATATGTTTGCTTATTTAAGTACCCGAATATATGTTTGCTTTAACTAATAGCGTCTGATGGAGAAAAATATTTTGTAGGGGAGGATAGATTATATTCACTAATTATATTCACTACAGTATCTTACTCTTACTAAAATCTAGTTGTGAACCATTTTTCGATAGATCTTTAAAATGTTCTTTAATTTTTATTATCATTGATGATCCTAAATTATTTTTATGTAAGCAAAATCCTCTACCAGATGGAAGAAAATCCGCATCAGTAGTGTAAGTGACAGATATTATGGAATAGCTATATCATTCTGGGCGCTCGTTTTACAAATACATCATCGATGGTAGTAGCGATTGAACATTTTCATTTTATTTATATGCTCTTATTGTTTTACTTTCTTGCTTTTATGCATTCACTTCACATTTATTTTTTATTTCTTTTCTAGCATGTATTTACCTCTGTTGAACCGTGAGCTAAGAACCGGCAAAAGATTGGAATCCTTGCTTGTTTATCAACAAAGTGATTATTTCAATTTAAAAATTTTCAGTATTTTTTGAACGCAGAAAATCACATTTGACATTTTTTGAAAAAAATTTTAGATTTCATTAATTTATAATAATAGTTTCATGAAACCAAAATAATTTTTTGTGAATCATTTGTCATACAAATTAATTGCTATACATGTGGGAATAAGTAAAACTCGTTCAAAAGTGGTCTCCTATAGCAACGGCATGCAATGGGAGTGCCTTCTGTTGTCAAAACAGTGAAGATTCTAATTGGTAATGCAAATTTTATTTTTCAGTTATATTTGGTTTCCTGAAAGATTTTTTTTCCTTGGTTTTTTTTGTTGCTTAATCTTTCACTGAGCTACAAAAATATATCAAACATTTCCATGGTTACTTTGTTCGTCAATGATTGATTGGGTCATGAACCTGAAAGAATATCATTGCAAGAAGCGTAATTAATTTTTTGTCTAATGATTTTACGTGCCGTTTTACATTTCAATGCTGGTTGAGCATTAGAAAGGAGAAACTAGAAAATTAATAATGATTATAATGCGGTAATTATGAGATAATATGGTGTAGAATAATGAGTCGAGGAATGTTGATTGAATCTTCTGGATTCATTGAATAGAACTTGTTTTTATCCAGTATATGAAGTTTGCTTGATAGCAAGTTGACTAATTAATCTTGATCAGTCGGTCGGATTTCTTTAGGAAGGTATGAGAATGAGATGGAAAAGTTTAGTATGTGACTGTTTTTTCTTAACTCTATAGAATGTGTGGTAAATCCACGCAAATATGATTAATTCTCAGAGGATAATATGATTCGCCCTTTTTATGCAGGTGCTGTTCCCAATTTCTATTATTGCTGTTGACACTCATTTGGTTCCCACCTCTTTGGAAAAGCATGAAATCCTTTTCCCCTAAACTAGTTGCAGGCTATAATTTGTTTTTATAGACGTGTTGTTATATTGGGAAGTAGAACACAGTAATTTAAAATAGTCATAGTCGATTATTAAGTTTTAGGTGTTGTACAACCTGTGTATTATGTCTCTCATTTCAAAAACTATATATGTATATAATCACAATATGTTAATATAGCCTTCCATCTTTTCATCTTCTGAATTGATGGGAAAAAGGATTTCGTTTGTCTGATGGATTTATCGGTGTCTATATTATTTACTTTCATTTTGGTTTCGAAATTTTATGACTGATAAGTGACAAAAGAGAAAAAGGCCTTCATTTCATATAAATTTAAAATATTTATTGGCTTATTACTATTACATCTGAATTTTTTTTATAAAATTACCTGTTTTTTCTTTAAACTTTGTAAATAAAAATATTAGATGTTTCATACAAAAACGGAACACTATATCTAAAAATTGTCACAGAAATTAGTTGCTGTTTTTAGTCGATCGATATAACCTAATATCAGTGGTTTATGCACTCGATGCGGACTTTTTTCAAGGATGGAAAAATGCACAGGGAATAAATACTTATAATTGTGTCCTGCAAGGAGATATTGCAATTCGAAGGTTTTAGGACAAAAATTGTGGAAATTCAAAACTATTTAAATTGATAAGAATATTATTTTGCGTTGTAAGAATTCGAACAAATAGTTTTTGGTCAAACTTTCACTTATTTTCTTCATCTTTCTTGCTTTTTTCAAACTTTTGACATTAATCTTGATTTGGCAGCACTCAGCAGTTACTAAATCTATTATTCCACTAATAAGTCTGGATAGAAATATCTTCATCCTTTCCTTATCCATAAAAATTATACTTTCAAAATTGTTACATCTGTTTTAAACATGTGTCGCACTTTGTCATTATTTGAATATGCCGAATAATCTTCAAATGCTTAGTTTGGATTTTTAATCACTGAGCAGTAATTTATGTAAGATTTCTTACCGTCTAACCGTCCAAGAGTTTGACATTCAGCGATTGTATCAAAGTTGCCACACTGCTTATGCATTGCAATTATGTATATATAGGCAAATTCGTTTATTATGAATATTATGTTGGCAGCAATTTGGCGTAAACATTGAATTTATGGGGATGTAGATTATTGCAGTGTTTTGGGTGTATACACATTTCTGTGTTTTCCATATGATTAATGTTTATACACTGATTCAATGGGTTATCATTTTCAATTCAATTTTTACTCCTAAATTTTTTACTAATTTTAGTATTGCCATTTCTCCGTTTAACAATGACAAATATTAATTTAATTGCATGAATTCAATTACTTTTGTGATTTTTGAGATTTGTTTTTATTATATATGTATTGCTATTTACAGCCTCCAATTACCACATGCAATAAAGACATAGAAATTAAATGAATGTATTTATTTATTTGATTTCTTTGTCTTTATGGCATGTAGTAATTGGGAGCTGTAATAGCAAAAAACGAATTATTGTATTTCAAGCATGGATGGAAATGATTAAGATGCTGATAAAAATGAATTTCTTAATTCCTTTGCCTCTCAACCTCTTAAATACTTTCCTATCTTTACAGATGCAGCCAGTCAATGCTCGATGAGTTCTGCCGGTGCTGAAGAGACGCCATATTTGGATGAGAGGATGACAGCTGCAAGTAGTACTGAAAACAATGGAGGAGGTGTTTCTGGTGTTATTCCATCAACGAATGAGTCGTCAGTTTCTCGACGATCATTTGGTATTCAGTTCTACAGTTTAATAATTTAAAATTTTGGCAGAGAAAGGCTGGAATTCTTTTTTTCTCATCAAATGATAGAATCAATGGTTCTAAGTTCTTTTCCTTCTTCAAAAAATTTATAGTTTCTTATCATGAAACATAACACACGCTACATTATTCACTTAAGAATTCTATAAAAGTAAGCGATGTTGCATAATACTACATATTAAGGTATATATCCTTTACACGATGGCTTTGATTCCGTCGTGAGTACATGACATATATGCAACGGTTTTTTAGCCCATTCGATGACATCATCTGGTGGTGCTCATTCCGGGTTATCGCACTCAATTGAATGGCCCGAAGTAGACGGAGTGTCTGCAGGCCGAGCCGCTGCTCTCGGAGCCCTTTGTCGCATTATGTGTTCCAAGAAAAGTAAAGAAACCATAACGGACTCACAGCTGGCACAATTCTATAAAGTTGTTTACGAGGCATTACTGGAGGTATTTTTGTATTTCTAGTTGATAAAAAAGCAGGACATATATAATGAATTAATATCGTAACAACTTCAGTTTGTTACTCCAAAACATATAATAAACAGTATAAAAATCAGAATGGTAGTAAAATCCAACTTCTTAAATTCCAAACTGCCATTCGCCTGAACACTGCTTCGAATACAGCCAAAATAATATTTTGGTGCTTGTAGAGTTTTACTGGCTTACAAATTTCATCCAGTTTGCGGTTTCACCAGAAAGCATGAAGTTTCCCAAGGAATTTATACTTTTCAAAAATCTTTAAAAAATTCAAGCACTTGATTCTATTTATGATCTTTCCTCTTCAGAAGGACCGGCTAATGCTTTGTGCGCTCATTTATTTTGGTGGTGGTATTTTTCATCTAGCTTTAAAAAGTGTTGAAATACTTCTGCCACAGTTTGTTCATGCACTCGAAATGATTTATACAGAGTCTATAAAGTTGAGGTTTGATTTAAAAATTTAAGTGAACAAGATCATTCAACCCCTGAATCTCGGCTCTCCAGAAGAATAATAGCTTGAACGTTTTGGTTAGAATGTAAAAATTATTGCATTAAAAAAGCAATGCAGTTCATAGTTTTAATTTATTTCAAGAATACTGATACTACACACTGAAATCAATACTAAAAAATTTCTGATTTTCAGTCGCTTTCCGAAACTTACCAGATCAATTATTCACTTTTCCGGTATTTTTCGAAAGAAATCATTAAATAACACGTTGAAACACTACGCTTTTCAGGCTTCATCCATCTATAGATGAAGTTCAAATGCGCCGTGCCTGTTTGAATGCCTTGTCATCTATAATCAGTTGGCCTACAACATTTGGAAATATGCTCATTAGTGGTAAATTTGAAAACAGTTTGATAGAAGTGATTATATTCGACGAAAAATTTATAAGATTTTAGCATTTTTGTTTACTTTCATTTTACAATGTTAAGGTACTTTATATTGGCCTGAATGTTACTGTAAAAAGTAATAGTTTTTTCTGTTTCCGCATATAGCTGAATATAGCCTTAAAAAATTCAAACTGTTGTTTGATTATCTATATTCCAAAGCATTAACACAAGCTTTGGTTGATCAGTTGTTTAGATTCTATTTTTCGGTAAATAAATCACCAAATACCACTTTGAAAATGAATATTGTTGTTGACAGCTTTAAATAAATTATTATTATTATAAATTAAATGAGTGAACAAGATGTTTCTTTTCAATTCAGATCTGTCAAGTCCGCATTCCAGTACAGATGAGAGCTCATTTACATACATCGAAGTTCGTCCTCGAATGCATCGTATCCTTATTACTGCGCTTCGTAATGAAGTTGATCCCATGAATCTCTTCCTCACTTTAAGTACTGTTTTATTATAAGATAATATTTTCTCTTTCTTTTGACTTAGGCAATTTATTTTAGCAAAGCTGGTTAAATTTCTGATTCATTTCACTAGTAATATCATGCTTATTTAATATGGTGTAGATTTTTTGTATTCTAGACGTTATTTGTAGATAAGACAGATGCAAAAGATTGTGTCATAAGTGAATTGCTTTCTGAATAAACCTGGTTATGAGTTGAATACTCTTTATGTGGATTGTGAATTAGCAAAGGTTAATTAAGAAATGAAGTTTTTGAAAGTAATTAGTAAAACTTTTACTTCAAAAGACGCAATCAGCAAGATGTGTTTTTAGCTATGTGTACAATACTATGTGAAGAAAGTTGTTTATATGATATGCACATGATACAGGGAAAAAGTATGAAGGAGAAGAGTGAGTGGGAAAATGTTCCATATTCGCAAGAGGGTATGTTATTCTCAATTATTCGATCACAAGTGAAATTATTGATAAATGCTCCTAGCATGTAAATTATACAAGTTTAGTGAATATGAGGTAAAGGAAAGCAGTATCTCTCATATGTGCTGTTTCTTTTGTTAATTTGAAAAAGAAACAAATTAATTGGTAGTATCAAAACTTTTCATTCATTAGAAGGAATATGTATTAAAAATCTCAACTCTAATTCTGTTAACAAATGTGTGAAATTATAGAGTGTTGTGCATCGATAGTGCGTTCGATAGTGAGTGCAGTATGCGACAATTTGTGCAAACCTCAGTGGTCGTCCGAATTATCAGTATGCCTAGCGGCGTTGGATTATCTGAATGCTCTTTCTGTTATGCATCAATCAATTTTGTTCTGCGGAAGTTTGTCCTAATATCCGTGCAAACTTTGTGTTTCGTTGTGTTGTAGTTTTTATGACTTATTAATTGTAAGAATGCCGCACTTTTATTAATTATAATTATTTGAGAACAAAATTTCTTGAACACTTTATAAGGAGAATATTAATTCGTAATCCTTTTCTGGTTCACAAATTAACGGATTATTAATTATTTATTGTTTCAGATGATATGTCGACAGGTTTTCTGGTAGTTACTTCGCTTTGTCGGTTTATTGATACACAACTAATGAAACCTCCGCCTTTACATTCTAAAGATTTACATTCTTCGGTAGGCTTATTTTCTTTTTAGATGCTGTGTTGTATAAGATATATTCCACTTATAATATCTATTATCGAGATATTTAAATGAGCTTGAAGGTTGTGGCAGCATATTTTTCATTGTCTGTTTGGTTATGTGCAGCACCACTACTGTTGGAGACAGAATCTTGTTTAACAACTGTTGCTGAAACCATCGAGTTTGGCTTGACGGGTGGAAAAAATCTTGTAGGTCTTAAACGACAACATTTCTTTCTCCGTTTTAAATCTTGTTCCTTTTTACTTTTTGAAAAATTAATGTTGGTTTCAATGAAAGCGAACTTTTATTCACTATATCTGAAGAATATGAAATGATTTGTGAAATATAATTTATTAAAATTGGGTATACGGCCCTGTGACACATTACAAAAGAAATGAAAATTCTGAATATTTAATCAGATTTTTAGCTTTAAAAGGCCAATTCATCCTGTTTGATATTTTTTCCTTGCAGTATAATTTTAACATTTCAATTGCTTTTTAGCCTCCGTCGGAGCGGAAAGCAGCGAGTAAGCGAGTGGATGATGCTGCCGAAAACTTGTTGTATATGATATTCTCAGCTTTAGTGAGTGATTACTAATCATGCACCAACTGAAATCACATTTCTTTTTCATTTGTTATAAACGAGATTCTACGAACTTCGAAAATCGCAATTTGTGTTTCAAATGCTGAGAAAATGAAGAGAATTTTTTTTTAGATTTACGTCTTAAGAAATATTATGTATTTTCGATTTAAACCCCTATTGGATCAGTCAAATAGTCTGCTTCCGTTAAGCGTTAATATTAGTATTATCGTTTACAGGGTCATGGTAAACAGAATGATATCGAGGATGAAAAGAAGTTATTGTATAAATTTGGTAGCCAGGCGATTGATACTACTAAATTCAGATACTTCCTCATCCGACAACAAACGCTGCTTTCAATTCATGAAGCCACCAAATTATCTGCCATTTCTAACGGTACGCAAACCTGATTTATTAACACCATGCTTGAATTTTAATTTAAATATACTTCTAATTCAACAACGCGTAAAAACAAAACATATCCAGTTTAAAAATATTATTGGTTGTCAGCAGCTGAAAATTTCCTTTGCATTATAAATATCATAATTTTTGCTGCTCTTCATCATTTGCATTGTCATTTTTCGCAGAATTTTTGTTGCAGGATTTCCATCGGTGTTTCTCGTATTACGTACTCCTTATCATGCAGCTTACACATTTTTTGTACAACTGCAGCCATGGGCCGCGACTAGAACAGACAAAGTTACTGATGATAAAGAAAGTGAACATCTCCAGAATGGTGTTAGAATTTCGATGGATTCCAAAAATACTGTCAAATTTTTTCACATACCATCCGAATTCGAAAAATCACACTGTAAATTGTAAGTTCAAAGATTAGACTCGTAACAAATCAAGTCCAAAAGTTAAAGTTCAAAAGGTGAATGAATCAAGTTAGAAGAATGTGCTGATAAATTTGTTTCATTATAAATAATTCAGAAAATGAAAACCTATGTAAGTTTTTCCACTTTCTTTTATAATTCATTATAAGTCACGTTTTACTTAGTTTCATATTTTATTTCGCATCCATATCCAGAGACTCCGTGATTCCGCCACTGCAACCAACACCGGATACAGACCACGTCATTGCTGAATTGACTGATATTCGAAAAAGAATGTCTCAAGGCGAAAGTTGTCTACGTTCCTCAGACGATCGCAATGTTTGGCTTCGTGAACCACTTTCAAAGGAATTATCTAAACTTGCAAGGCCTACAGAGTTAGATCATTTCTTATGACTAGCTGTTACGGATTAACCCTCAAAAAATGTTAATTCTGCAACATTTAAATCGAAGAAATACTTTTCATATATAACAGTTTGACAGATTGAAATAATAAAATAATTCCAGAAAATTTCACTGTTACATATATGCTGGAAACCTATATCCCCTATTCTGAAAAACACTCTATTTTTTCAGGCCGCCAGCAAACTGTAGTGCAGGCCGAATACTTCTCTATGATCTGGGTTTAATTTCAGAAGAAAGTTACAAATCTGGTGATATATTGCTTCTTGACTCTTCGAAGTAAGTTTTCTACTAGTGCTAAGAAGTGTGGAAGGACAAATTAAATTTTTTTCTTACAATACGTTTCTTTCTTGGATATGTATGTCATGAAATGCTCTTTCTTTTTAATTCTTACCATTTCAATATTTAAATTTTATATTGATGAATGATAACAATTACGAGAGCAATTGAAATGATTATGAATACCATTCAGCCCTGACTTTTATCATGATCTGCATCAAATGGTGGACCGTTCACCGACAAAGTTGCTGCAGACTGTTCGCTTATTTTATGTTCGTGATGGTCAACGTAGTGCTATGGATATCCTTGCTAATGCGGTAGGTTTCTTAGCTGAGTAATTTAGTCACCTATTTATTTTGAAAATAGATATCGGCCCTAATTTCTTAAGTAGAGCATATATATGTCTCTATTTGAATATTAATTTCAGGTAACATAAGTTTAAGCAAATTTTCAGGATTTATATATTGATATATAGGATCCTGTTCATTTGCAAGATGTCTCAATGCTAATATAGGGGTAGCATTCCATTGCATTAACTGAGTGAGTGTATTCAAAATTTATTTAATATAAAAAGAGCTCAACCGACTTCGCATATCTTCAAAATCAATCTTTTTAGGTGAAGGTGGTTAATGGTGACGTAGTTTAGTCGAATGATCTTTTTGATTAGACTACTGTTGATTAATTTATATATTTTTGTGACACTAGCTCTCAGTGTCACGAAAAAAGTACACCAATTCTGACATTTTTTCAGATGAATCTGCAAAATACAAGCAACTTATTCTGTAGTTTGTTAGCGGAATTAGGAGAAGGTGTTGAAGTGGAAACGCATCCTCACTGGACTGGTGATTGGACTACTGCTTTCTCCGCTGAACGCAGTTAATATTTATTTCTGTAATAAATCTTGGACTGTTTGAGTACTTCCGTGAAATATCTAAAATGATATAAGGGTTATATTTTCAGAATCTGATGAGTAAGAATAAATTTTTAATCATTTTTGAATTAAAAGTGAAGCATTTTCAATCAAAGAAAGAGAGCAAATCAAATTAGAAAATCAGAAATGTAGGGAATAGATTTCAGCTGTATACTGACAATTCTGGCAAACTAACTTTTTATTTGCATGAATTAAAATAAGTACTTTGATCTTTAAGTCTTAGATTTGCGTGAGTTGATGTCTCAAAAATTAATACTATTGATATATTTATTGAAGTATTAGAAATTTCATCATTTCATGAATTGATGAGATTTAGAGCCAAAAGAAGCAGAGCAGAATTTGGATAACTATATCATTGATGGTTTCACCCATTGTTTGTGGTGGACCGATCCACATATCGAAATTGCCTTCACAACACCAACAGAACGTGTTCTTGCCCGTAAGCAGCAAGCATCTAGTGCTGACTGTGATTTACTTGCGAGCTGTGGTGCAAATGTTTCGATTATTAGTTCCGATGAATGTAGTGACTCGGATCACGCTGTTAAGTTACAACGTGATTTTGGTTCGCTTTTGAAACGATTAGCTTATTCATGTTATTTTGTGGGTAACGTTTTTTGTATTCAAAAATTCATGTTTGGAAAATTTTCATTCCCAAATATTTAAAAACGTTAACGTCGTTTTTATGCACATATCATCAGTGGTTTGCAGACCTTCGTTTACTTATTCATTTATCTCTAATATACCGATGCTTATTTTTGCATAAAATTTTGATTTGTAAAGTTTTCAAAATAATCATTTGTTGATTTCTTTCAGGTGGTCGAGCATTAAGTCATTCATCCAGTGATGAACGATCAGCTGGACAAACGAGTGGTAATAGTAGTGGGCGATCAAATAAACTGCTTTCTGAAACACTTCTTCCGCCGCACAAAAAAAGTTACTCAGGTATTGATTCTGGGAGTGAAACAAAAGGTAATTATTTCGAGAAGTGAACTTAAAACTCAGCTTAGATCTATTTGAAGGAAAACTGTTTCAGAAGATTTGGCGGATGATTTGAGACGGATGTAAAGGCTAATGATTTGAGCATCAATTAAGGTCACATATTTTTGAAGCTGTGTTGTAGAAATTCAATTTTGAAGTAATAAATGAATTTTGTTCAAACATAGACTCGCCATTTTTTTGCATATCAGTATAGAATCATTTCATATTTCAGAAAATGGTTCAGAAAGGATTACGTTCGTTAAGCGCAATTCCGACCAACGTGTATATGTGATCTTCCTGGAAAGAATCGAAGACATGCACTATTTCCCATATGGTTTGTGGTGATATGAGTTTATTTTCTTGCTTTTCATATTCAGTTTGCATTGCAGATTTTTTTGTCACTTATTGTTATTACAAGTCTTCGTCTGTTTCTAGAGGAAATGTTCCCCATGACATCGGATGATTCATTATGCAGTAAAGAGAATAATGCGAGACCTGATTTGATTATGATTTTCGTTTCGGAAGTGGAAGGCCAACTTGTTCGAATCAATGTAATTGGCGATTGGACGAAGTAGGTGTTCAGTTTTCAAGGTTTTGTCCGACTTGACTTAAGAATTTTATTAATAAATTTGATTGAATTTTCTTAATCTTTTTTCTTAGATGTGGTTTGCCAGGACCGTTGGTTGATGGTTGTTTAGTTTCTAGCAGCGCCTTACCAACTCTTTTGAAACATACAATCATTAGTATTGCTCGGCGAAGGACCGTTGAACTGGAAAAGTTTGTCAAATTTTCTATTTTTTGGTTAATGCTTTACTCATATGAACTTTAAGCTTTTAGATGTTTAGTTAATAAATTTTATGTAGGACAAGATTTATTTCCATACGTTAGATCTCGGTATCATATTTCTATTCCGCATAGTCAGGTAGGGCACTAGGCAATTTTCTTTCATTCGCGACTGGAAACAAAATACTCAGAAAAAAAAGCAGGCATTGAAATGACCATGAAGTTAAGTTTTTGAAATATAAAAATATTTAAATACTTGAATATTCTTATATTTCATAAGCTTAACGAAACCAGTATTTGCCATTCCAGTTATCAGTTGGTAGCATCAAAACGTCGACGTACAATTCAGGAGTTCGCCCAGAAATATGCAATCAAGAAGTCATACTGTGATTTTGTCGAATTATTACTGAACGAATGATTTTTAAGAATTGTTAGTATTATATAAACTAATTAATAAAATGAAGATTATTCAAACATAGAAAATATATGTATAAAATTCATAAAAAATTTGTTTAATACGAAGGCTTGTAAAGCTGTTTTTTTGGAAAAATGAATTATTTATGATAGACTTTCTCTTGTTGATACATTTTAGCTTTCTATTACTTGTTCATTTTTGTTATATAAAGAATATAAATATATGAAAAATTGAGGAAAATCCTTGTTATTATTGTTTTACAGATTTTGAATTCTCTATTTAATAAGAATTTGTCATCTTATGACGAACATCTAATAAATTATTTCTCACTTCATATAACGTTTCACATTGTAACTTGATTGATTTGCAAAAAAAAGTTCAAACAAGAAACTAGGTGATATTAATGATTTTTCTCCTCTTTTATATCATTAGAACATTTCAAATCATTCGGGGATTGTTTTTTCGTTTTGTATGATTTCAGACTTCAATACCGATAACTTTGAAAAATGCCAGCTAATAAAAAAATATAATTAATAAAAAATATAATTATAACTTATTTCGACTGTCGCAACTCACGAGTGTGTAAAACAGATTGACTATTCCGTTTGGCTTTAGGTGGGTAAGTGAAACCTAAGGTAATTTATTTAAAAAAATCCAGATTTACAGTTTACACTGATAAGAAAAGCATGTCGTGATTAACTGCAGGACTATCACTAAGCTGTAGAGATTTGAATTTCAGATTCATCAGATTCAATCTTCGCTGCGTTTCATTTTTACTTCCATGTAGTGAATTGATTTAGAGTGTTGAATCTCAGGAAGTGGACAAGTAATGAAGAAATGTGTTGCTAATTTTTTATTATATAAATGCAAGATTTTCTAAAATAGCGAAAACATCATATTAAAATCAATACAGGTGAATTTCATTCCGTTTTTCCAGACCGATCCTCCCAGATGTTGCAGTATTCTTCATGCTATTTAAAATCCTTTCTGTGTTGTATTATTTCTCTTCCGCTTTTTGATACTTTTTTCAGGTCATATTTCTTTCTCCAGATTGTACATTATCTTACCAACTGATAAAATATTTTATTATCAAATAGGTCATTGAAGAAGTCCTTGAGAGACACTGATATAAATTCACAATTAATGAAAAAGAATCTATCTGTGATAGGGATCAATCTTTGATTTAATTTGGTAAAAATATATAAATCGTTACGGGATATATCTGAATGATAGTAAATTGCGACATTACCCAATTTGGGAAGAATTTGTTACCAACAATGTTCTGAAATTCAAATCAGAACACGAATATTTTCCATAAACTTTTTCACAGGTCATTTGTAAATCTTAAATACGCAACAGACAATGTCAAGTGCGGTCATGTCTATTACAGTTTAGGATTTTAAATGAACTGTTATTACAGTTGCTCTTATACTGGTATTTTTGTGTTATTAGTGAAGCAGAATGTTCCTTTTTTTTATTCAGTTACTAGTGAATTAGCGATACCGTTATGGCAATAATGACAAAAATGATAATAAAAGTGAACGCTTTTGTACCATTTGTTTCACATCTGTACTATAAAATAAACATTCTATCTAATTAGAGTAGAATGAAAATAAATAATAAATTTAATTGCAAATTATCATCTGAATTTTTAGGCTTCCCCAGTATGATATAATATAAATGTGAAAATGAAGAATTATTCCGTGGATTTGGCTATGTTTCTTGCACAAATGAAATCATTAGTAAGAGATTTGAGGGCATCGTGGCCATCATTTTTTTTGAGTGAAAAGTAAAAGTACAAAGTATCTAATTGCGTAAACACACTTCTTTCTTTCACACAAAAATTTTTCATATTTCAGGCAGAGATCAATCAATATGATGGGAATATTGCTAAAAATTGTTGTTATGGGGGTTAAATTATTGATCATATTTCACTCATTAATTATTAATCAAAGTTTTTGTGCGAATTTTATGATATAGATAAAATTAAGATTTAGAAAAAGAAAAAGAAAAAAATGCGAACATGACCTCGTGACCTCTGATTGGTATTGTTTGGAATTGATGTGACCTAAAATGATGATTTTTTTTTCTTTTAATCAATGGGATAGACGGATTTGAAAATTAATGACTATATATAGTCAATATGACTGTTAACACTTGTGATATTTCGCAGTATCACGATTCCAATACTATGTAATCCTAACTATTAAGACCAGTTTTTGGCATCAAATAATAAATACAATTTATTTTCATCAAAAAAAATTTTTTTTCTCAAATATCGTAAATATCTGTAGAAACAGCTGCAAATATTTGAATGTCTGAAGCACTATCGTTTTAGTTTTTATTAAATCTTATTCTTTCGCACAGAGAATAAATTTTTTGGACTTTCAATTGGTCCATTGATTCGAGTTCTTTGTATATCTTTATTCCTTCTAGTAACCACTTCGTTCTCTTTCATTTTATATTCTCAAAAATGAAATTAAAAAGGATAAGCAAACTTGGACTATGTTTCTTCTAGTTTATCCATCATCAACAATTCACACCTGATGTTTGGACTATAATCATTGCTCTTTTTTCATAAACAAAATTTTCACCATTTCGTTTATTTATCAGTTTTTCACTTCTTCTTCCAAAATTTCTGCCGGAAGTAAATATTAATAAATTTCAATATCATTTAAAAATCACGTTTCATAACATAGTTATGTTATGCTCTTTCCATTATGACTTTGTTATATATTTAGAGACAACATTTCAAGTCTTCAAAAATTTCGTTATTATTGGTAATTGCCAAAAGTGATCTGTTAAGTCAATGTCACTATTATTCATTATTACGCCAATAATCATTGTTAGAAATACGCTTCATATTTCATATTTCATCGAAAGGTGGCTACTGTTCTTTGTCTTAACCCTTTGTTTCATTCCCTTGCTTTCTTCAATTTTTAAAAATTAAAATGATTATATCACATATAAAATTTCGAAAACTAAGATTACATTACGCTTTCACAAATCAAAATATCGATTCCATTCAATTCAATTATCCTAACAAGTGATGTTGCAAGTGATTACGGTGCAAGTTTTGTTTAAATTGTATAATTTATATAATTTCGGATGATATTTCAGCTAATGAAACATAAACAAAACCATAGATTTATCCACTGAAATGAATGCCCATAATAATGGTCAGTTTTTTCAACTGTCTGCTTTATCAATCCTTTTTCTGTAATTAGAACTTAAATATATCATGGTAAATAATTAATTATGTGTCAAATAAATAGTTTTTCATTTCATAGTGTTTGAAAGTCTTATTTTATGTCACAAACCAATCATTTCAAGGAATAAAGTATTGTAGAAGATATTGTAAGAGATCGATAACAACAAGTGGAGGATAGGGCTTCATCAACCTTAACAAAATATGAAATGAAAGATAAAATCACAAAATTTTCTTTCACATTAATTTTTGTAAATCATCGCTGATTCAAACTCCTCGGAATAATTGATTCTGAGATATGAAAAGAAAAAATTTTGAAAGAGAGAAAAGATGCAGTCTTTATCAAATGCAGTATTCCTTTTATTTTCGACGTCCTACAACTTGTTACTTACTTAACTATGTAGTAATGATATTATGTAAGCCTTTATCATTGTCAGTTATTTTAGTGAAATCTGACAAGGAGATTTAACGTCAATGTTCGTTTTACATGTCTTTCATGTAATGGTCTTCTAGTTTTTGATTTAAATATATGAGAATAACTGTCTTATTGAGAGCCAAGTCGTTAATTTTGATTTAAGACTAGACTACAGGACTTGAAAAATTCTTGAATCAAAATTTGATAATCGGTATAGGTAATGATATATAATATTGTTGGTGATATTTTTCTTCTTTCCTTTTATCTTCTCTCTTTTCTGCTATTTTTTTATTTTCCTATTTGTTCTGTCTTAGTTTTATATGAAATATCTCAGTAACTTTCAATCGAATTCTAAAATTCCGGTTCAGAACATTACCTGGACAGCAAATAACACTTTCCTCCCGTTATAATTATATTAAAAAAAGAGCAGTAATACGTAATTCTTTTTATGTTACAACTCGATTTCATTCATTTCTCCTTATAGTACTGAATTATCATTTACATCATAATTTCAAAACTTTTTTAAATAATTGTCGCAACACTTACACATATTTTAAAAGATAAATATGATTTAGGAAGATATAGCAATATATGATGGGAATGTCAAAATAGTACACCTAAAAGTGATTTTAATAAAGTTTATTTTCATTTCATATGCAATATTATTTCCAATTGTTATGTGCATTTAAAAAGAGAAATAATATGAAATGAATATAAATTAAATTGCTCGAAGGCAATTTGCTTAATTAATTTCTGTGAGATAGAGGTAGAACAAATTGTTGAAAGAAGTTCAATTTAACAGATAGAAGGTGTAATGCGTGCATTTACTCTCTAGCAAGTATCATTAGAATGGATCATTTCTAATCGTTTATTCATCCTCCGCCAGAACTTCGAAAGTATTACGAAGTGTTCTCGATCAATTGACGAATTCATAGCATCATTTTTTGGAAGATTGCCGAAGATTTGTTAATAGCGCAAAAAAAATTTTTTTTCGTTTATTCGAAAGTATTTTCAATCAGTCATATTTTGGAACTTTAAAGTTGGTCACAAAAATAGATTAATTTATATTATTAGTTTACATTTAAAAAAAAACGTTATTGTGTGCACTATTTCCTACAGGAATTCTTTAATTTAATTTTAATCCAAAATTAATTACAGATGTGGGCTGTTATTACTGTTTTATTTGCTATTTTTTATTTGGGGTATGTGAATAGTGTGACACAGTTTTATCGTGGGTAATTTTCTTTTATGATTTCTTTAATTTCATCTTTTCATTACAGTGAGCGAGTACTGATTATCTCAAATTATATCATAAACATGCATTTTCACTCAACTGATTTTATTTCATACGTTTAAGATAGTTAATTTTATTTCATTATTTTTCAATAAATCAAATTGTGAAGGAATTACAATTATCATTTTTTGAACATAATTATATTTAAAAACCACAATGGAAGTTTAATAGATTTGAAGCAAATTTAGATACAGTTTATTGCGATTTCCAACAAGAACAACGGACTGGTTGGAGGAAGTAGAAGCCGATGGCTTTGCTTTAAATAATGCAAGTTGAAATTGAACTTTAATGATGTTAGCCTATCTTACATAAAATTGCCAACTATTCGGTGTCATTATTAGGAATGCTATTGATGATTTGAATTTTCGGTTCCCTAATTTTTAAAATATTTCTTAATTTTGACGACACGATTAAGTATTTAGGAAGAAAATTAACACAAAAGCAATATTTGAAATTTTTCCAATGAAAAATTTGATAGTAATAAGATGCTATTAAATTTCCGGGATTGAAAAAAACATTAATTGACATATGGGCGAAACCGAATATGTATCGGAACCATGCGGATGTGCTGGTTGCACCGGAATTCTTGGATCCATTTTTGGCTTTGCTCAGAATGCGTGGTATCAATGATATACATATCGTTGTAAATGATATACAAAAGTAGGTTAATTTAATTTGCTTTCAATAAATGCAATAATTCTATTTCAGATTTTCAAAGAGGGCAGAAATTTTTTTGCTTTGTTTACGAAAAAAAATCAGATTTTAGTTTTTTAAGAGATCAATAGCGAAGGTTAAACATTTTTTCTTGAAATTTTATTTATGGATTTTTGGAAACATTAATGCTACCTAATCTACATTCATTCCATGTGAACCAATTTTATCAAAACGTTTCAAGCAAAGATGAGTGCTATCATTGTTAAATATTTGATGCTTTTTTTTCTCCACTCTACTTGAAATCTTCAACGAATGAATAAATCAGATTCACACTTAGAAAGAATCGGCATAAATTGAAATTTGAGTTTTTTTGCTAAGAATGCAAATTAGACATAAAAAATCTTAAATTTCAAATAAGATATGAAAATTTTCCATAAAATTCTATTTATACAGAGAAATAGATCGAGAGAGAAGAGATTTAGCTTATGCAATGAAACGTTCGCGACGTTCCATGAGAGATAATTCATTAGCCAACTTCAATCTCATTGCTTATCATCGTTATGATAAGGTTTGTTATCATTCAGTGATTATCTAATTCTTAAGCAGACAGTGTAATCGGATTATAAATTTCTTCCATAAGAATTTTAGTGGGATTTTTTGAGTCTCGAGAAAGTGGAATTTATTGACTAACCCATACAGCTTAAAAGATATTTTCTTTTATAATTAATTTTTTAACTTTTTTAATAATTATTATCTTCTTCCTGAATGGTTGTTACAGATCGTGAAATACTTGGAAATGCTTTCAAGATTATATCCAGATTTAGCTGAAATTTTTAACATTACTAAAACATATGAAGATCGCAATTTAATTGGCATTAAAGTTCGTATTGTTTGTTTCTTTTTTTCGTTGATGAACCCGATCTGGTAACGTCTAAGGAGTTGTTAAAATAAATTTCAGACTATCAGAGATGAGATTCAAATTCGGTACTCTATTCCATCCAAATAATCAAAATGATTTCAGTGAGAAAAGTTAATAAAGAAAGTTTTGAGATGAATAAAAATTAATATATTTTGAGATGAATAAAAATTAATATACCCAATATAGATCGGATCACAAGTTTCATACAAACCTGCTGTATTCATTGATGCAGGTGTTCATGCGAGGGAATGGATTGCACCTGCAACAGCCCTTTATATCATTAACAAGGTTAACTTTTTTATTCAAATTAATGATTTTGCTACAAATCGATAAACTTTCAAATGAGCGGTAAAATTTCTGTGTAAATTTAAAGTTGAAAGGTAAGGTGGATTTTAATTAATAATATTTCCAGCTTGTAACTGAATATGCAAAAAATCCCGATATAACAGATATGGTAGATAAATTCGACTGGTACATTGTCCCAGTGGCGAATCCGGATGGATACGAATACAGCATGACTACTGTACATGAACTTTGAATTTTTTTAAAAACATCGATTTAACGAAATTTATTCAATATGAGATCAAATTTGAAATATGGCTTAAAATATAATATTTTATTTCAATTAACCATCACAGTGAATTTAGGTCAATCTTGTCTTTTTTTAATACTTTTTGTTGCAATTCAAAAAATGTCTACATTTTATTCCAGTTAAAAACTTGATGGTGAATTATAGTTCAATATGATTGCGAATAGAAAAAACAGCTTTTAAATTTTGGTAAAATAAACTATACAGAAAAGAATTAATTATCTTAAAAAGTAAAGTTATTGAGAAAAGACTTCTTGAAGTATTTTGTAATGAAGGAAATTGTTAAAGTCGATCTTCCTCAAAAAATTTATAATGAATGCTTTCGGTCTTAAAATAACATTTTTGATGCCCTCAATTTTTCATTTTTTTCTGTAGTTGGACAATTTAAAGCACATAAGATGGCCAAGTAGTTTTGTATCACATTAACCGAGCATTGTTATTATAGTGTTCATCCTCAAAGACATTGATCAATAAATGATACAAAGATTTATTTTACCTTAAAAAAATCTCAAGAAGTAAACAAAGCAATATGAATATGCAAAGAAAATTATCCATAAGATAAATATGATAAATCGGTATAAATATTATTCTTGAGAAACAATACTACCATCTTCCATCTTTCGAAAAAATGAGATTCGAACAAGTTAAGGTGAAGTTTAAGGTAGTCCAGAACAAAAAGATACCATGAATCGAGATGGAAGGACTTATTCGTCTACTTCTCCGGCATCACTTTCTAGGATCGATTATGGAGAAAGACACGATCAAGGAATGCGACAATTAACAGATGGTGTGTTGGCGCTGATGCGAACAGAAATTGGGGTTATCGATGGGGAGGCTAGTTTCATTATTCCATAATACATGAAATTTAGAAGCAATGAACTTCACAATTTAATTCTGAGCAATGTCTCACTGGCTTAGGATAATCACTTCTTTATAACAGCCTATTACTGTAGATTAATTTTCATATTTTAAGTTATTCTGACTGAAAAAATTTGAATGGTGCTTTACAGAAGCAGGAGCAAATCGCAGTCCATGCTCAAATATCTATCCCGGCTCAGCAGCATTTAGTGAAGCAGAAACAGCAGGCATTCGAGATTTTATCAGTTATCAGATTCTTGACCTCAAGATTTACATTAGTTTGCACAGCTATGGACAGTTATTCCTCGCACCATGGGGTTATACCAATGATAAACCGAACAATTATTATGATCAGGTGAGTTATTGATAAGATTTTTTTGATTTTATATTTTATTAAGCTATGCCTGATCTATTTCAAGGCGCATCTGACAAATGATTTTCTTGAAAGCAGATAAATCTACTTTAATTTCTCGAGTAACCTAACACAAGCATGCTTATCAATAAACAGGTTGCACCATTAAAATATTGTAATCATGCAAATTAACTTGCTGCAAGTATCCCTGCACGCTAAGTAAAGCGAGTATATATATATATATATATATGTTTTATTTTCACGCTGTTGATTGCAGAAGCAGGCAGCAAGCTTAGCAGTAGAGGCTATTCGAAAGAGAACTGGTGCAAAGTATAACTATGGAACTATTTCTGAACTAATGTGTTAGTTCTCTCGTATGTTCCTAGGCTTTCAAAGATTGTTACATATTTAACTAATAAGTTTTGAACTGAAAATGCATTTCTACGTATAGAAAATCCTCTTTGTAATAAATTGCGATAAAAATTCAGAGAGACATTTGAAAAAAACTTTACAATTCTTGGAGTACAAAAAAAATACTCTTTAAAATTAATATTTCAAATTTTAAATTTCTTTGGGTAAATTGAAATTAATGCAGATCCAGCATCAGGAACAAGTATCGATTATATGCAAGACAAAGGTATACCTTATATCTATGGTATTGAGTTGAGGCCTGAAGATGCAAATAACAACTTTGGTTTTACTATTCCCGTACGATTTATTGAACCTACAGGCTAGTTTTAATCGATATTATTTTAATAACAGTTACTTAAATCAGATCTAATCAATTAATAAGAATAAATTAGGGTTACACCATACAATTAGATTGCCAAATATGTATTTTAACAGTTTCGAATAAGAAAAGCAGTTCAAATAAAGTGAATTAATATTTTTTAATATTAATTCAATTTATTTAAAGAAGAAAAATTTGAGCACCAATTGATGGCAGGTTAGCCTAAAATTTTGTAGATTTCAAGTATTCATGCCATCAATTAATTCTCAAAACATTTAGAAATATCAGATTACAAAAAAAGTACCATTATTAGTACCACTTAACTTAACTTTGAAATCAATAATTTCAGGTGAAGAGATGATATCAGCGCTACGAACAATGACAGATTATGTGATTCAGAAAAAATTATAAATTAATTTCGTTTCGTTTCGTTTTATATTCCAGAACTTATTTACCATCACAAATTCAAGAATCTCAAAGCGAATAAGGCTACACAGAATTTCAATTTTTTACGATGGCAAGTTCATTGCATATCTCTTATGATTCAATTTTCCTGCTTTCATTTTTATTGCAACCCCAACTAATTTCAGAGGTTGCTCAGAATAGTAATGATTAATTAAATTATACTTTATTTCAGAAGTCGAAACTGTGAATGAATGTGTCACCATTGAATTGGTACGATATCAATGAATTAGCACGAAGAAACAAATTGGCTCCTGAAAATACTTGCCCTAACCTGTATTGGCAGTACCTAAATTCGATAAAAGTAACTTGCAACCCCTGAAGTTTCCAATCAATTTCTTAAAAATTTATAAACAAGTGCACATAATCTCAAAATTTCGGTATAAATTAGAAAATGAGAACTGTACCACTTTTGCATCATAACTTTTTGGTCAATGTCGCCTTTTTCGATATTCATTTTTATTTATATGCTATTCCACTTTCTATACTGCGATCTACATGAGCTTTAATTAAACTATATCGATAATTCATTGTACCCAGTAATAATAACGATCTGTTTGATTAATCAAGTAATTAGCAAAAATGTTCGAATTTTATCCAACCAAATGCATTCCTTATTCTAACAAAAAAAAAAGTAGGATTTGTGATGCATTTACCGCTTGAAAGATTTTGCTATTACACATTTGGATACACATTTGGCACATTTTTACTTTGTAGGATTTTCAAATAATTCTGTACACAAATATCACTTTCACATAAAGAAGCACAATACAAACTGATATATCGATATAGTTACCGGGCTATGAATTATACTTCAATAAAATTTTTGGGGAAATGAAATTTAGACACGATTAGCTCCTTCTCAAATTCAATAATCAAAACCAAAATAATCAAAAAAGAATCCAAAACTTCTTCCGATATCAGTGATAGTAATGATAGTGTTGATATCAGATATGAAAAGAACTTCAGAAGTATTTTTGAGGAAAAGTTCCCGAATATACATGTATAAACTGTAATATCAACACGGAACTAAGCGTATAAAATGACATTTGAGAATTTATAACATAAGTGAGTAAACCTTTTAAAAGGAAAGATTAAAATGAAAAAGGAATGATAAGCATTATTGCATGAATAGGCATATATGATACAATATTTAATATACATGATAAATACATTTACAGCTTGCCTCAGTAGTAATATCAAATAAAAACCGGTAATTAATAATTTTCAATGCAGCAAAAAGTTTTTCAATCAAAAAATGCTAAAAATACTATAAATTAAAAACTTTACTTTCGAACATCGAATTTCAAAAAGCAAATTGCCACTTTAAGGTTCTTTTCAACGATAATAAATTTAACTAAAAATTCTATGCAACTGTTAATTTATCCAATCAAAAATTATGCTCTGTTAATATAAGACATACAGATTATGCTAAACTGCAAATCAATAGCTATTTATAATTTTCAATAAAACTACACCATTATAATTAATGATAGAATGATTTATATTCAAAATACTAGTTTATAAGTACACAGCTTGTTAAACTTCATAAAATCACAATGCGATAAATTGCGATACCACCGAAAGTAGTCTATCGTTGCAGTTTTTAATTTGGCAGAAAACCCGTAATATAATAGATATAACATATGCAAATAAGAAAAAATAGGATATAGAAAAAAATCTATGCATGCTTAGAATCACCAACCAAAATGTTAGCATTTGTGTAGCAAATATTTTTTTAGGCCGGTTGGTAACTTCAGCTCCCGTACTCGACAGATACGTTCTTTTCCTAAATATGTTCGAATTGATCGTCGGCACAATTCCAAAAGCGTTAACGGTTCAGCTGTAAACAAATAAATAAAAATATTATTTTAATTATAATAGTTGATAAAATAATGAGTGCATTTAATGCACTATGTGCTATAAGACTAATTTAGAAGAAAAAAGCTGTTCAATGCCTAAAAGTCCAAATTTGAGATTCAGTGAACCTTAACACAATACAACAAACTTCTGTCATATCATTGAAGTTATGTTTGATATCATCAAAAATATACAAAAATACAAGGACCTACAACGTATAACAACAAAAAAACACATCGACAGTTTTTCCGACACCAACAGACATTGCATGGCATTAAAATGAATCATGTTTGAAATTCTAGGTTACTTAATATTTCGACAAGGTGTTTTTAAACCCATACTTTCGTGCATCCGAAATATTTGCAATATCAAAATATAAGACATTACAGTTAGCAAAACACTAATATCAAAAAAGGGAAGCTTAAAAAGGTTAGAAAGACTGATACACCTTGCTAATGCTAGGAACCTTCCAGACAATAAAATATTTTCAGTTTCAGCCAAATTCCATATCAAAGAAAGTCTTTTGTATGATAACACTGATAACATGATTAAAATTCTTTAATTCATAACTTTCAGCTCTTCAATTTCTTACAAAATTAAATATAAAAAATCCGCGGAAAACTAACGGTCAAGTCCTCCAAGATATTTAATCGTAATTTCACAGTGACCCCAAACAGCAGAAACAACTGGATATAATTCTCGACCTTTCAAACCCGTAAATGCTACACCATAATAATCAGCATCAGAAGCAAAGGCCATGTATCCTTCGTCCATATCAAGAATACAATAGAACTGATCAGGTGCCAGATGATTTTCATCGCGTAATATACATTTAGGATATGTCCAACCGTTTGTATTCTTTGAATCATGGTAACACTTATTGCGTACTAAAAATGTTTGTGATATTACAATTTGAAATTTGATGACTTCGACTTAAGCGAAGACTATAGACATATTGTCCAGTAAACTACTGGCTCGTTGAAGTTATTCTAATGCTTTCCGCAAGATCATTACAAATGTAATTTAGTCTTCTTGTATATGAAGTTAGACAACCAGTACTAGGAACTTTTAGATTGGTTATAAATAGCATCAGAAAAAAAAAATAGTATCAACAATGGACTATAATTCCTCCAATTCAATTTAGTTCCAAGAAAATGTTAAGATTATACAGAGTTTTAGGATCTATCAAAAAAACAACTATTGAGATAGGGCAAATGACAAAGCAGATTCTGGCTGGCACATTAAGGAGAGCTTTTCGTTGATAATGCAATCAGCACCACTTACAGTCAAAAAATATAAATAAATTCTCCTCAAGTGCATCTTATAATCGATTAATCATAATAAAAGTTCATGTCTTTTCAGTCTTCATCGCAGATGTAAATAGAAAATTATAACGATGAACAAAGAGATGAGATTAACAGAAAAAAACTAACTCAAATCCCATCCATATGATTCACTATTCGAACCAATAAGTGAAGTATAACCAACAGCATGCAATGATGCTGCTTTCGTTGCTACACCAACTGAAGCATGAGTTCCTCTTTGTCTCTGTGGCCATCTAATTTGCCAAACATGGAAACCTTTCGAGAAACCAATCTTAAAATGAAAAGACTAAAATTAAAAATGAAAGTCAGCAAAGTTCACTGTCTGAATTTAGTGGAAGAAAATATGGTTAAAATTTGTTAATGAAAAGTGGATTTACAATTAACACCTAAAAAAATTGAGTTTGCAGATCTTTTTTTATTGCCAAAAGTTCTTTCGATCAAAAATGCTTCCAAGTTAAAAACACCAGCTGACAAATAAGCCATAATCTGGACTTGAATAAATGCACCTGACATTTACTCAAGTCCCGGAGATATTTCTGTGATGGAAATTCTTCACTGACCAATAAAAGAAGAGGAATAATCCTTCTCTTCGTTATTCATGGTGCCATAAGGTAACTTCTAAGGGAAACCAATAGTGTTAATTTACAGTTTTACTCTGTATCAGTTTGTAGTGGTCATTCGCAATATATTGGTCAACTACAACGGTTTTGAGACTTGTGGAATTAAAGGATTTCTATATTTGAAAAAGGTCTATCAAAAAAATTAAGTCTAATATAACTTGTGCATATCTAATTATTCAGTTCTCCTGTCTAACCATACTTTAAATCATCAACAAATTAAAGACATAAGCAGCATGCGATTATTTCAACTAAGAAAAATCGATAGAATCTAAATAGGAGGATGGAAAGCCAATTTTCAAAAATAAAAAAAAGCGGACTTCCGGATTTCATAAATCGCTTAATTCACCTTAGCACGAATGGAGTCGGTGGACTGAGCAACGGGGTGTCTGTGGAATGTCAATCGATCATCATCCTTAACAAAAATATTCAATGAGCGATCATCTGGATTCCATGCATATGCTTCCATTACTTCAAGCGGTGGTGGTGAAGAACTGATTATTATATCAAACCGACTTGGACAGAACATGTCCTCATAATAAGAACCCTGTAAAAAAGAACCAGAAGATCTGATTTAAAATTCCGCTGACTTAGAATTTTGTTAACATTATGATTACGGAAATCTACAAATGTAGGCACCGAACCAAGACTCAGAATTAATGTATTATGAGGGTACATGGATGGGTATGTATCAAAATATGAGAAGTATCAAGTGTCCGCACATTAAAGTGTAGAAACAGACCGCAGGATTAGCATTTGACTGGATGCGTGACCGTGAACCATTCAATTCCACCACCATGGTCGCAGTGCGTGATATAGAATTCGAAGCGCCGTTTAAGCTTCGAACAGCTAGACTCTGTTCACGTGAAGTACGATTGGAACGAGTGAAAAGATGCTGTCTCCGTAAGCTGCTGCTGCTTCTGTTGCTACTACTTCCACCAATTTCAGTAACAGTATTGCTAACCCACTCTTCAGTCACACTTGATCCAGCTTGTGTTTCACGTGAAGGGCGGAAAACTCTACGTGTCGCAACATTTTGACGAATGGTTGGCTGCTGCACCACTGCACTGCTACCGCAAATGACAACATCATGCCGTGGTCCAGTTAGTGACGGTACATCTGAAGTGAAAAAAACCTTCCGAAAGAAAACTTATAATTGTTAGACGAATTAATGCTTACTTATTTCAGATCAGAAATAAATTAAGCCAAGGTGATGTTGAGGAATATCAGTTTCTGACAGTTTCTAATATTTCTGATATACAATATCAGTTTCTCAATCTTCAGAGGAATTCAAACAAAAATCTTTATGCTTACACTTAACGCAAATAGTCGATAATTATCAATGATAAACTTCGGAGAAAGGCTACAGAATTTACAGTAAGATAACTTCAAGGTTGAGTATTGCCGAAGAAAAGATTGTAGGACTTAAGCTTTCAGGAAAAATACATCACGGAAGTTTCCTTTCTACACCTTAGTGTGACATCGAAATTTTCAGAGATCCAATGGCACCAATGACTAAAAAAACAATACAAAAAAATTATAAAAAATAAACACTAAAAAAAAGTGCGATAACACTATCGACAAAAGTTTCATATCCAATTAATTACATTCACACTATTATGGAAATTTGAACCATATGATGTTTATCATCTAGTTTGCCATCCCTCCTTCATTTTGGACGTTGAAGCTTATGCTTTGTCTTTAGTTTTGAAAGTAGCTAATTAACAATTTCTCAGTATGCGTCATATTGATATATCTGTGACATACTTTATAATATATATAAAATAACGACTGGAAACAAATTCGGGCATGGAAGCAAATAAAAAAGTGAAGAAGAATTCTGGATGAAAATTTAAGATCTACTGTAAAGCTGATAGAATTTTGCAGAGAAAACAATAAATAAAAACTTGTGAACAAAAAAACAAAAAGAAATTTTATTGCAGAAAGAAGAAGGATGCTTTCTAATTCGTTTAAAATACCATGGTAAACATGTCCCTTTTTTGCATGTCTTTTTTCCTTTTTTATAGATTCAAGAAAACAGTCACCAATATATGAAGGAATAAAAGCAAAGTTTGAAGGAAAATAGAAAATACAGTACTTTATTTAGGAAAAATTAATGGTTTTATCATGGATTTATTTCTTAGAGCATAATCTTTTCAAAGTAAAGTTTTTACACCTGAACATAAATTTCCGCGTATTCCAGAATAAAACATTCATTGTCAGAAAAAAAACCAAATCATATGTCCCATGTCAAACTAACACAGGCACTTGTAATTTATATAATTTTAAACACATGAGAAAAGCAAAATGAAAGACAATTTTAGACCAAGTGGGATAGCTCAACAGATGAACAGGTACTGATATTAAAATAGGCACATGAAAGAAACACACTTTAGTAGTACATGCGCAAACAATACATGTTGATGGACATATGCGCAAGTTAAATATGTCTGAAATGCGTTCCAATATAACAGTTGATAAGATCTGAGCCAAAGAATGACTCATATATTCATGAAAAATATTCCGTTTGAAACATTAAACTTATTAAACTTAGTGCGAATTTCGTACAAATGAAAATTGGTAAAAGTGTTAAGAAATTGAAAAAATTTCTATTAAAACGATCAATCAGAACAAAATTATTTTCACTACAAAATTGACTTTTGAACCGATTCAAATTTCATCTGATAACCAGCGAATAGCAAAGAAAATAAAGATCGGAAGCTTAAGAAACAATGACAATTAAAGGAAGTAACCTCATCTAAAATAAGAATAATAAGACACGATAAAGAATGAAAAAGTATGTTATCGTCAATCAAACAGGTTTCCCGAATGAACTGTGGAAAGAAATGAGGTCTAAATAAGGATCTATCACGTTTATCATTCTCCTCATATCCCAGTGCCTTTGGAAGCGATCGTTTTATCATACCAATTTGCTATAGCATTCAAAATCCCTTAAATTACTTGCTTTAATCGAAATGATGACGAGAAATACTTAACGTCCTCGGAAAATTGAAAATCTAATATTAATAACCTAAAACTCGTAGGCAAACTATTGATCTCACATTAAAGTCTTCCACAAACAATTACTTAAAATCATTATCACTGATATAAATCTGAAAAAGAATAATTATTCCGAGAACAATTATATAACGAATTCACCTGATTCAATTCTGCAATTAAAACTTATGGAATAAAGCGAAATCTTTTCAACATGAAAAAAATGTCTAAACTTGGAAAGACTTCACTACTTTCACCTCCACTATTGAAGTTAGGAAGACATCCTACCCAACGATGAAAATTATAACATTCTTCAATACAAATTCAAAAGAAAAGAAAACTGAATTAAAAAATTCATAAATCTTGGATATCTTTACAATTCTCTATTTGAAGTGCTTCATTTCTTCATTTCGAAAGTTTTTAGATATCGTTATTCAATAGACAAGAAAAATGTAAATTTGAAATGAATACGCGCTGCTAATTAAAACTGAAATTTAGAAGACTGCAGATGGAACACTAAAAAGTGGATAATGGTCCACAAATATTAATTATATACTAAAAAAGTGTAATTGAATTTATTTCGATCTAAAAATTGAAAACAGAAAAATTAAAATTGAAAAAAAAAATGTACATGTGTTACTAGAATGTCCAAATTTCAAACTCTTGTCACAGAAACTGGTTTTGTAGATAAAATATGAATGATCTAGGTGCCTAAATTCATAATTGATTTAATTCTTGAAATAACATGCAATGACACTAACACTAAAGTAGTAACAATATCAAAATAAATCAAAAAATATAACGGTACAGCCCAAAAGAGAAATATATCATGAAGGAATGTTTGCCGAAGATGACAAAAAAGAAAAAATTCGATAACCAGTAAATTCTTTTAGTTTCAACTTCGTTCATCCTCTAAATTCATATAAAGACAAAATTTGTATCAAAATTGTTTTGTCATGAATTTTTTGAAGCCATCATATGTTTTCTGAATACAAAAACTTGCAAAATGGGTTAAACACAAAGTAATAATATAATTTCCAAAATACGTATATAATATATAAAAATACACCTATTTTTGAGCTTTTTCTTATTCTTTTCAGTGATTCAGCGATCAGCGAAAATTCGATTAATCGGATTAAATGCCTTAAAAAAAGATCGACCTATTCATAAGTTATTTCTGTCCACTGTGCTTCTCTGAAACGCATGACCTATCTCATTCGACTTAACATCAAAGTTAATTGTGTTTATAAATTTAATATCCGCATGGGCATCAATGTGTAATTGAGAATGATTTGATTTTCAAAACAAAAAATAGTATTCGGATGATCGATTTTTCAAAAATACATTTTTCTATTGAGATCTAAGAAAAATCGACAAGATAAATACATTTCACAGGATTTAAAACCATACATTTACGCATTTAATGTATGGAAATAAATGTTTATTATATGTATGTCTAAGGATGCGACATGGCAGATGAAAAGTAAAGGGGCGAATCATAAAAAATGAATAACAAAGTGAGCTAGCAGATTACAAAAAGCAGCTTGCTTCAGAGACAGCCACAAGATTTTTTTTCTATTTCAAATTCAACTAGTTTCAACCAACGTTCTTCATTCCTTATGTAAATGCCGTCTTAACTTTTTGTATACCATTCAATGGATGTTTAGGAGCTTCAATTATATATCTTCCATATACCATTTACCAAAAAGAAAAATGGTGATCGAAATTCTGAAAAAAATCAATTATGTTTACAAAATCCAGGATCCTAAAAGCACTCCAGCTCACTCGCTTATCATGCTTCGAGAGAAAAATGTCAATTTGAAAACAAGAGTTACAGAAATTTAACTAGGCGATTAGGAGACATTTGAAAAGAAAAAACTATTGAAATCTGTGCATGAACCATTAGTCCAAATAATTGGTTAAGCAAATATTCCGCCATAGTAATAATAAAACCGGACAAACAAACTTATCTTGCCTAAGGGATTTTAACTAATTTAATATGCAAAAGGCGATATATTATTTGCTGACACGGAATCGATGATTACGCAATGAAAGGATTCTCTAATTGGGAACATTCGCAAAACAAAGAAACTCTTTCGCATCTGATACCATCGAGCAACCAATGATAACACTACTTTTGGCAGTTATAAAGGAACTTCAATGCATCGAAATTAAACTGATGAAGTTGCCTTTACCAATAATAACTGCACAGTAGACAGCAAATTAGCTATTAAAGATCTATTAAAGAAATTAAGCAAATTTGATGTCAGCGACCAATCGCTCATAATTATCACGTAAATGATAAAAAGTTTGGACGATAAGGACTGTCACACTTTATCATTGTCAAATTCGATAGCTTTTTTCTTTTCGTGATGAAAACCTGGAATTACAAACCTGATGTGGCTGTTTTGATGTGGTTGCTTTTAAGTCTACTAAGTTAATTTAAAACAAAGTGGTCTTGGTTCTTAGATTTCTGAAAAAAGCAATCCTGAAAATTGCCTTAATTTATGGTATGGTTTTTAACACTACTACGTTGCGCTTGAATCACATGGTGACATTTTCTACAACCCATTGCTTAATAATGAACAAAAACTTTACATTTTATTCTTTAAATGATATTCCTGCTTTTCTCGGCGGTAAAAATGCATGGAACAAAAGATAATTAAATAGTCAGGTAATCTCACTGACTAAGAAGTAATGTTTTAGATGTTTTTCTCCGATTTCAGTGGTCACTTGGATATTTTTTGTCAATTTCTGTCATGAAAAAAACTTTGATGCAGACAAACTACAAATCTTTTTACTCTAGTCCACTAAGTTGACTCTATCATCTCTGAAATATTTTTAAAAGAAAAATATAACTGATAACATGGTCTTGATGAAATGCGATCTGGAAGGATGATAGCAATGAAAAAAAAAAACCATATAACTATCACCTTATCATCATGCTATTTTACATTCCAAACTGTTTTAATTCCATATACATGCTATACTTCATACTATCAAAAAATTTTAATGCTTTATTAACGCTTGTTAAATCAAAACTTTTGTCACAGAAAAATCAATTCCTTTATATTAGAAAAAGCAACTACTTATTATCCTTGCTTGGAAAATAATGACAGTAATCTGGATTTTTGGCTTTACACAAGGGCTGGACCGAAAATATAGCAACAAGGAATTTTTTCGTTATCATTATGACAGAAATTCACTTTCCGGTTCATTCCAATTATTGCATATCTGCTAATTTGCTATTGTGAAAGTCAATTCTATTTGATCAGATTTTTTATCAAAACTGTTTTAAAAATGTGACATCATGACATAAGATCGTATAAAAATTAGAAAGTCATGTTTCAAGAAAATGAAAGTGAATTTGTCCTTGTTCAAAATTTTTAACAGAACAACGTTTTTATTTTCTAATTCCATTCAGACTAATTCTAAAAACAGGACTCCGAACTAGCAGTTCTTTTTAAATACTCCCAGATTTTAATTTAAAAATGCTATTAATTCCATCTCTGCAATGTGCAATGTTTTCAGATGAAATCAAAATTTTATTTGCAGCTATAAATAATCAATCATTTTTTGGTATAACTTTTCCTACTGTCAGGCACGCATAATCAAAAAAAAAACCACTAAAATGAGCATGGAAATTTACGTCTTTTCTTTCAGCCTAAAAAAATATTGACTTTGATCACCCCTGGGATTTGTAACACCAAATATTGATTCATTCTAAAAATGGTAGCGTAAAACAATCAGTTGTAAGGATGAATAAGTACAATGACGAAGAAAGAAAACAGAATCTAAAAATAATAGAAAACAAAACAATAAAAACTTCATTAAAAAGAAAGATGCTCTTTGCAATATCTTGAAACCAGCTTATCAAAGTCTATATTTTATTCAGAATATTGGCAATGACCTCTTCATTCGGATACCACACATTACAGCACAAACAAATTTCCTTAGTAGTTAGAGAATTAAAATATTTTTGATGAATGAGTTTTATGTGATCATACAAATCATTCAAATGGTTAACGAAGACAAAAATCGATGGCATAAAATAATTAATAATAAAATCAATGATTTTTTCAACAGCGAATTGTTTTTTTAAGGAAAAAATTAATAAAACTAATGATTTTCAACAATGAATTGTTTTCAATCACAGCTCTACAATTAATGAAGCCCACATAATTTCTTTCAATATAAACCTTAATCTTTTTCCTTGAATTTAGGAATTCTAAAAATTATACTTTCAAATAAATGATGTAGAATTAACCTACATAAATATTATTTTGTTCCCAAAAACTAATAATACATCCAAATTATTGATTACACTATTTAATCTATTGTAGTAGCATCAGCATAAGTTATCCAGTCTTTTTTTGAATGAACACTGAAAGTTACAAAATTGAAATAAAATAGCGAATTTAATGTGAACTTACCTCCATAAATTGGACTATCACCCTGCGTTTGAGCAGACAAACGATGACCCATCGCTGTCGATTTTCCCTCGTCCTGAAATTACAATATCCTCAAAGAGATAAGCTATTTTTCCTCGTGCAATCATATATTCAGAAAGACGGAAGCTATCCTTTCTTCTTAAAATCATATATTTTGAAAGATACGAGCTAATATTTCCCTCCCAGACACTCCATATCCCCAAACACATACTACGAGTCCATCTCAGCTTCACTCTCGCCCGGCAAGCAAACCAGAAAATTGCCCACCCCCTACGTGTGACCGAATTTTCGATGGTTCATCGGACGAACTTTTGGGCGCAATTAGATTGCACGGGTGCCGATGTCGCGGGCTCTTGCAAGTAGTGATGGTAGCAGGGTACCGAAACTTCCCGGGAATCATTTATGGTGGTGTGTAGATGAGTGTCTTTGTTAGAATTAGGAATCGCTGACCACAAAGATATCAGTCAGATTTTGCGAATTAAATACTCTTCATTCAAAAATTCCTGTAACTACTTGGAATATACTAAATGAAACCAAAATTAGCGGAAAACATATCAGATGGAGAGGTTTTAAAATTTAAGAAAATAACTTTTTGAATCGCTATATTTGCTACAAAAGGATAGGATTCATCATCCGATGAAACGAGATTATTTCCATTTGATTCCCTTTTGTTATAGCTAAAATCAATACTGGAAATAAGTGATAATGACGTAAGACAATTACTGCAATTAGAAAATGAATAATTAGATGAGTCAGATATCTGCTGGCGTTGAATGGATTAGAAAAAGTCAGTACTATTCGTTCCGAATCGATCGGTATCAGTGACACTTTCTCTGTCGGACACTTCCGTTCGATAGGGATCTTATTTGCTTGTATCATCGAAAATACTATATATTTCTTGTTCATTTTACGAAAATCTAGAAGAACTTTCGGCTTATTATTATCTGATTATATCTTTATTTTGCGAGGAAGATATATTTAATAACATTGTGGTCTTTACAACTCTCTGAGGAATGGAGTGGATAACTGAGTGCTAATTTATGTTCATGGTTTTGAATTTTTGATTGGAAATCTGCTTTCCAAAGAAAATTGAAGAACTGGAACTGGCAAAATACATTTTACGTTAAAAATTAAAAATAAAACAGTCGATTTGATAGCATGGAAGTTCCAAAGAAAGGAAATTGAGTGAACTTTATTTTTTCGGTGGATCAATTATTTATTAAGACATACAGCTGACAGAGGAGTTCGCCTGATAACTCAATTTTCTGGCTCTTTATTAGGCATAACTTTTGAGTTTTTCAGACGTATTCGAAGATAAACAGTACAAATTTAAGTTGGGATTGAAAACTTAATCAACCAACAAAAAATAGAACGATCAAATAAGGGAAAAAACAAAAACTAAGGATAGAATGTTTGTTTTCTACATAGTTTTTAAAAATAACAACTTTAAAAATTGATTCAGTTTCGAAATAAATGAAAAGTTGTTTAACAACTGATGAAGACAGAGTAGAACTACTATAAGGATGGGAATTTGAGAGGAAAAGTGAGGAAGCAAAAAAGAAAAAAAGGGAATGGAAAGTGAGAATAAAAAATGCCCTATAAGAGAATTATTTTACAGTATGAATGCAAATAACGTCGCTTCACTTGGCTATGCTATATAGCCTTAAAACACTTTGCACATACATATACACATGCTAACATGAGATAACACATACGCATCAACCACTCACTCGTTATGCAGTTTCTTTGAAAATTTTAAGATAGTTTGATTACTGATCATCTGACTAGAATTTAATCTTTGGCTGGATTAATTGCACATATTAAATTAAATGAGTCAACTTCGCAATCAGCATAAAGTTTCTTCAGGACATCTGTGCATAATATATCAGTTGTGAAGCAGTTTTAGAAAGCTGTACCGAGTAATGTAAGAGCATTAAAAAAGATTTAATGAGCGTACATTCGCTCATTAAGTCTTTATTAATTCTTTAGCATTTCTTACGAAAAGTTTAAAACAAGATAGCACCGTAACATTTCAAATTAATATTTGAGTGAGTGTATCGAAATAATGAATAGAATAGTTCAATTTGTCTAAAATAGTAAAATGTTTTTAATGAAATGACAAATTATCTGAAACACCCTTGGATAAATATAGTTCAAAATGTGTTCGAAATCGCTAGTTCAAAAAAGAATAATTAAGATCGCTATGCAATTTTGAATTTAAAAATTTGAAGCTAACGCATCAGGATGAGTTATTAGAGGACTTTCATCAGTGAATCGAGAGTGATATCAATTATCTTGTCAAACCTAGTGGAAAAAGATAGAATATAATAGAAAATAACTCTTATAAAGGAGAATTTCAACAAATTTATTCCAAGCATTCGGCTTGAACTTTACAATTCATTCATTCACAATATAAAGTACATAAACAGATTTGTGCATTTTTCAATGAATCGTTTTGACGAAATTGTAATTGAACAGGAATTATTGGCTTTTTTATCGCATAATTAATTACTCTCGAAAATATCGTCATCGAATTGATATTCAAGTTCAAAAATATAAAAACAGTTTTTTCAGCGCTTACATTCCTGCTACAAATGGAATCGAATTCTAAGCGCTCTCATAATTTAGAAATTTTAACTAAGAAAATATAAGCGGTAAATAGATTTTCTATTTTGCTTGATTTGATTTAAAGAAAAAAAGAACAAATAAACTTAGCGCAATGATAACAAAAAAAGGAAAAAAACTGTTACAGAAAAATTTTCACAAAAAAAGCATAGTAATTTTAATTTTTACAAAGCAGGATTGTTTCTGTTTATATTTTCAGATCGATGATCTTAAAGTTTCCAAACTAAAAATTGCCTTAAAATCAGAAAACAAACCTTTGTTGATCAATTGTATTGTAGTGATAAAAGCATGAATTATCATTAATTGTATGCAATGCAAAGAAAGCATTGCAACAGTCTCAAAATAACTTTCATGGCGTATATAAACAATTGAGACGATAATCACATCGATTTTCTCGAAAAAAATGTATCACAATTTTTACGACAAATAAAAGGCTAATAATCGCTAATAAAAAATCAAAATAATAATTATAGCAACTATGAAGATAACAGAAATACGAAAATATCAGACGGAAAGACCGATTCCAAAACCGCATTCATCAGCAAAAAAATTGTAAGATCCAGATATCGTTACTGAGATAGGAAAATTGCCGGTGAACCGTTTTTGGAAAAGACCTGTAACCGCTCCATCATTTGATAAATGTCCAGTAATGACCAATTCATATTTCGGTATTTCTCTCTGAAATTTGTGATTAATGCTTATAGAGTAACATAATTTTATTTATAGTTCTTAAATTTCAAACTCAATTTTAAACAAAAAAGTTTGAAATTCTTCAAAAAATTTTTTTGATACAAGACTTCAATTTACTTTCCGAAATTTTATTAAGATTTCCTTGAAGTATCATTTACAAAAGTGATCTTTGATTCCTAGAACTCAATTACATTAAAGTATCACGAATATTTATAAATTAAAATTCTATTTTCAATTGGTGCAGGATCGTTGCCTCTAAACACTAAATATAACTTGTTTTCCAATAGCAGAGTTATGCATGGAATAAATTGGATAATTGCATCTATGAAGCAGAAGAATTCGAATAAGATGTAGGTTTTAAGCTTTAAGCTTAGACAATTTCAAAAATATTTCAAAGTCTTACTCTGACAGCTACGACGCCTCTCACCTTCTTGAAATTTACCGAACTTATTACATTAACTGCACATGCTAAATGTTCGTTAATATTTCGATAATATGACAAATGATATCCGCTTCTTTTACAAAAATCAAGACATGCTGTGTATGTCGACCCTCTATATCTGAAGCCGATGCATTTCAGACAGTAAATCATTAAAACCGAAAATTTCTGAAGGATCGAATAATATTGAAGAGAACAAAAATTCATAGAATTTGATTGCAAAATACTCCAGCAGCTAATAGTTTTTTACAATTTCAAAGAGATAAAAATGAACATTGTAAGAGGGCAGTGCTAGAAAAGAGATTTATAGCATTCGAAATCAAGAGATCTGTTGTGGACTTTTGCGTCTTCAATTAACTTGTAAAAAAAGGAAGACAGATCGATCGCAGAAACAAAATTATTATTGTTTTTTGTATAATTCCGGTTGAATAAAACAAACCGTGCATAGTAAGTGATATCAGATAATCTCTGATTACGTTCCGGTAGCGGAAAATAACGAAACGTTAACTGTGAACCAAGCGCTAGGTTTTCCGTTATACTTCGCAAATAACTCGCTGAACAAATTCTATTTGTGCGGGTTGGCCAACCAGTATATTTAAAGGCCAAAGTTCCTGTACGACCATAATATTCGAGTTCTACATCAGCTTTTGATATATTATCTAAATATGTGGATGATAATTTTCTGAGTTTAATATGTGGTGTTCTATATTCTCATCCTTTATATTCAGAAAAGTTATTCCAGAAATGCACACACCTTTTCCTATTGATATTCAGTCAATGTCATTCGATCATCGTAATCATATTGCATTTTACATTGCTCACAATGTATTCCAACATTTCTCATGATGTATTTTGAGCAGAATAAAAAGAATACAAAATGATACAAAGCTTTCCGAAATTCTTATTTGCTCTTTTTATCATTTTCATCATCAAAACTTTGATATTTCAAGTAAACGCCGAAAATTTCTATTATTTACATGCAAGCTTTTTATTGTAGATAAAAAATTTTGATATTTTTTAAAATATATTTTTATAGAGCATGCAAGCAATGCTTTATGAAAATATATAAGCTGACGAACAATTTTTAAGCGCACTAAGATCAACTTTGTTTAAAAATTGATTACTTCTTGAGATTAGCTTTTACGGCATATTTCTTGTAATCGAGTAAGTTGAAATCTTCGAATCAAAAATGAGGAATGCCTCACAGTGCATGACCACTTTATTTCATAATCTCATTTAAACAATCAGGACATTCAAAATATCAGTAGATGAGCAAAAGTTTAACAAATATTTGGGGCATTTCATAATGTATTTTTTTGTCAATTTGAACTAACCCATTTTACTTAAAAGCTATTTTAAATCTGTTTACTTTTGCTCATTCAGTTTAGCTCCAAATGGATTCAATTAGATTCTGCTTTACGAAATGCATTATTTTATTATGCAGTTGCTGTGCGGAAAAATTCCACCCGTACCTCACAGATACTGGGAAAACATTGTTCTTTATTAGCAATTCTAAAAGGCAAAAACATCACTGCTTAATTCATATCAAATTTTTATATTTTTGAAATCCGATCAGTGAAAGAGAAGTTTGGAATGATCAATAACATGTCGACCGTCATACAACATCCAATAACTTTTGCGCCATATTATCCTTCCATATGGAATATTTTACAGTATTATTACATCTTTCATGCAAGGAACGAACCTTTTGGAGAGTAAGCTACCGACATGTACAAGAAATCATCGAGTGCTTGTGAAATGCTTATCGAAGGCCATGGAGCAGTGAAATTGGCCATCGCTTCAACAAGAATGTTATGTTCACCAAACCGTGTTTGTCTTGTCGTAATGTGTTTTGTGATTAGTTTGCCGTCTATTTGTGCTGTTCCTATTCTTATTTTATTGTTCAACTGAAAAAAATATATTACAAAATGCAAAAAGATTGATGAAATTATAGCATTTTTTTCCCCTAAATTCTAAAAATCGTAAAACTAGAGTGAATCACATCTTGAATTTTTTTTGCAAGAGTTTTAAGGAGATTTGGATCCCTAAAAGAGTTTTACATTTTTGTTTTGTTTTCGAAACTTTTAAAATAGATATTATATTCTCTCTCTCTCTTGTCCATATTCACAAGATATTCTAATATGATGATATTAATTTGATCAAGTCTTCAGCATTAACCTTATTAACAACTAGGTAACTTTTTAATAGATCCCTGCCAGGACAGCCAAGGATTGGTATAAGTAATATTATTAGCTAAAAGTGAAAGAAAATAAAGTTCAGATTATTACGATAGAATACTGTAATATCTTACAAACATCGTATAATAATGCAAATTTTGAAATAAAGAGAAGAAATGAAGAGAATAATATTACCTTAACAGTAGTTGATGGGATAAACTTATTTAGTGCGAAATGTACTCCCCTAAAGCTCTTCCCAATGCAAGTTAAGCAATCCTTATGGAAGTTACTTAGCGTGCCGGGATTTAATGCCAATGTTTCCGTCACATCCACTTTTCTCGACACATTTGGCATAGATTTTTGAAAAATTCGTGACAGTCCATGATGTAGTGATTGTTGTTTGTCATTCGGATTGATTAAGCCCACCATTATACTTAACATATTAATTTATATTACAAATATTTCAAGTATTAACTGCAATTCTTTGAGTATCCATAATTATCCCTAGTAAAAGCAGAATAATCAATTTGCATAAATTGAATGAAACTCGGAATTACTAAACCCTATACGACGGATCCATTTATTCTTGTCATTTGAACCCTTCAAAAAAAAAAAAGAAAATTTATCACGCAATGACCCCATCATAACAGCTCCAAGATTGTCATGGAGAAATACCGCGTCTTTTGAACATTACAATGCCGATATATTTAAAAAAAACCAAGTTAGCGCCAAAAAGACTCACAAGTGCCGATCGCTACAACCTTTTTTATAAAGGGACAATTTTTCTTTCATCGGAAAATTACAAAAACGTTTTAAGCACTTTCACTCCGTTAGCAAACGAATAAATTCAGTTTACCATGAATGGACTAGTAATTTTCACATCATCAACTTTATAGACACCCTTTAAGTGTGAGATAGTGAGTGAAACAAACAACAAATCAGGTAACTCCAAAACTATTTCACCTAAACAAAATGCATGCACTGGAAACTCCCCGAGCTAGAAATCAGCAAATAATTCTGAAATACAAGCTACTGAGATCAACTGCTAAAATACATTGCCATTTAGAACAAACCGATCATAAATTATGGATTCCTCTAAACTTCACTTCTCAATTTCAATGCGAATACCCATTTTTCTGGTACGATCACGAGGATTGAGCAAGAAATGCAAAAGCAACTGGCTCCTCTTCACCTTTCAACAAAGAGATCAACATTTGTAGTGCGAATAAACGACAGCAATGTGCGATTGGAACTTTTACCATTAAAAAAAATATTGCAATTCTAAAATGCATCAAAAAAAGCTCCTAGTGCATTAAAAATTGAAAAACCAACCATGAATTTCATTTTTGAACAACAATCGAAATTAATTCTAACCCTCATAAATTCATGCGTTTTTGAAAAAGTGTGGAAAAATCTAGCTTCATGAGAAAATCGAACACTTGAATATTTTTCAAACTCTTAAACGAGTAAGAAAATAAAATTCGAACACAAGTTGCACAGTATTTAGAAAAGTTCTTTTTTTACAGTAACGAATAAAGACTACAACGAAAACAAGTGAGTGGAAAGGGAGTAAGAGAAAAAAACAAGTATTACATCAGCAAAAGAAACAACAACATATAAGAGCTAGAAATATCTTATAAAAAAGATTCAACACTAAGTCCTTGCAGGTTTGACCAAGTATAAAGAGGAACATCACTTCAAGTACAATATAAAGCCCAAGTAGGAATGCATCCACCAAGCGCGATATAAAGATTAGAACGATGTCAACAAATTCACATCTTAACGCGCGCAGAGGGGTCAATAAATTGCAAAGTTGGTAAACAAAGCTATCAATCCAAAACGAGTACACTTTCAAAACCGACGCAAGAATCAACAAATAAGAATCAAAAAAAATAACAAAAAATATATTAGAAATACCATGAAAACTGTCCTTTACATCAAAAATTTGCTATCAGTTTTAATCAAATTTGACATGATAGCAAAAATACCGGCAATTTTTGAAAGCCTTTAACCGGCTATAATAAAAGCATCTGAAAAGGCAACTTGACCGTATTTAATGGATTAGTTAAATCTAGAGCATTATTGCTATCAAACATAGCATCTGAAATAAATAAAACAAAAAGCTTTATCTATTACGAATACAAACATATGCTACCCTTTGGATAATGTGAATTAAAATAAAAATGGTCAAGTTCATTGCAAAATTCCAAACGACATAACAATTTCAGGTACACTAATTATCATTTGAGCTTTAAAATAATCACTTGAGTACTAATTAACCGATTATAAGACCAATGCCAAACTTTCCTTGCCCTTTCACATGGTTGAGCATTCCTGATATGGCCAATGTGAATGGCAGATTTCTAGAAAGCTTCTTCTCAAATACTGCTCCAACTGCCCAATCTGTATTCACTGACGCTCTCATTACTACACCTTCGTCTGGGATCTCCGCCTGGAAAAAGATTCAGTAGATAGCCTTGGTTCAGTAGAATGCACTGCAATTACTGTGCACTACTTTCACATGTAAGCGGACGTATCCAATTAACTATCTGCCACAGTTTTTTCTAGAAAAAACTTGTACATACTTCCATGCTTACTTACTTGATAACCAATATTAGCAACTGCTTCTCCGGATCGTGTCGAACTTTCGAATTCGACACCAAATGAAATATTTTCACGTTGTTTATGATAGTAACATAAATGAAGGGCATCAAAGCTGAACATTCCACTTGCAATAAAATTTTTACCCGTATACCTGCAAATTATAAAACTGTTCAGAAAAAAAGTCCAAGATATAAAAAGATATTGGGTATTACAGCCAACCTATATTTGAATAAAGATAACAATAAAGTCTCAGTGAAACAGACTCATTGGATAAAGCTAATTCAGGCATCAAATAAACATACAGTTTTGATGCTAAAACTGGAAAACATGCAAACACGGAGCCAAATGTCTTAGCCCTGAACAATGAAAAAAAAACATATAAAGAAACAAACAAAAAAAACCAGTATGCAGAAGCAATCCAACCTTGCCTGATAGTTTAAAACTGAAAGTTGCCTTCCAGGAATGGGAATACCATATTGATGAATGAATTCGACACCTAGATCTAGTTTTTTGGTTATGCGTCGCAGATATTGTGCAACAATAACTCCAGAATCATTGATGATATCAATATTAGCACACGTCAACCCCAATGTTGTAAGACGACCGCGATATTCAACTCCTCCTTGAGTTGTTGCCAACTTATTCCCTGTAAAGGTTCAGATCCTTACAAAAATAAAAAAATAAAAATAAATAAAAATAAAACTATACGGTTCAATTTCTTGTAGTCTTTTTTAGAATAACCATAAAAAGAACGCTAAAATTTAAATTTCGTGCACATGGAGGATATAAAAAAGTAAGGAAAATAAATGTACTTCTTGCTTTTATCAACCTTCCAATTTGATATTTTCGAACTAAAAAACAAACCATACTAATGATAACAATTATCACGACGCTTTTTTGTTCATTAAAAATTAGAAAAACATAGATGAAAAACTATGGTCAACCAAGCTGCTAACACTAGACAATGTACATCAAAATGTGCAAGAAGCGATAAGATGACAAACGTATACTAACATAGGTAGCAATGGCATAGATACACGGTGCAATGCAAATCAAAAAAGAAATTCTCTGAAAGCCCACCTACCTTGAGTTTGGGCTTGCATTTTCACTCTCCACCGATCGCCAAACTGATGCAAAAATGTTGCAGAAGTGTTACCAGAAATATCAGTGTCTGCCAAAAACACGGGAAAATTTTCGCCTTCTTGCTGCGTTGTCTTAGTTCCAACATAGGTAGCACCAAAACGATATCCCGTATTTTGCGGTGATACACTTAACGTATGAGTTACCTGTACATTACTTTTTAGTTTTCATCGTTAAGTACTATAATAAATAGTTTCTTTCTGATGTACAAAGCTGGAACCTATATGGTGTAAAAACAGGAATATCTTCCGTTGGCGGAAGGCTATTCCTGGTTACCGATGGATGTCCTTAATATGAGATTTTCACTAGAAGAACAACCTGAAAATGTGAAGACATTGCTTTCGTAAGCATCATCCTTGCTCCATCGAAACACATCGGGAATATTTCGCGACATTTCCGATGTATTTCTTCCAATGATCCAGGATTACTACTGGTTGTAACCGGAGGATATACGCGAGCTGAGGTAGTATTTTTCTCTGGGCCATCAACAAGACCACCTGCTTGTGTGCTATCCACAGGAGCATTTGTTGACTTTGACGTCGACATATAGTTGCTCCTTCAATTTTAATTGATTTCAACAGCGATAAGTCTATTACCAAGCAATACACAAAACAGCCCTGTTATTAATCTTTACGACGTGCAAAATGTCTACAAATAATTTCGACGGATCAATACAACTAAAATTAGTTAATAGTAGTGTGGTCAACTATAACTTACAATTAATCCATAAATAACGGCAAAGATTCATACTTAATACTTTTCGACAATAGCGCTCATAACTGTCTTTTCATAAATACTCTTTGTGCTTGTAGTACCTAACTAACAGAATACAAAACATAGCAAAAATTTTCTACAATAAATTAAGAACATGTGAAAGATGCAGGAGAATTAGTATTGCGATAATTGACCTGACTGAGTCAACTTCTCTGGAAGTTAACATAATAATATAATAACTGATAATAAATGATAATAACTTCTGCCCTCCAAATATTTCAGACAGAATATCAAAATCAAAAGTTTCCCTCCTCTTTTAATTAAAAAAATGTCTGACTTTAAATTTTAGAGGACAACAAATGTATCTTCCAATACAAAAATGATGATATGTTTGAATAAATTTCAAAAACTTGAAATATGCAAAATCGCAAGAAACACGAAGTCATCTTAATTTTCATTAATTTCAAAAAAAGGCTACTTTCTTTACAAATGTTACAGTTTCTCTTAACTCTTCCAATGGAGTGAAAACTTAATTTCAAAGAGGAAACAGATATTCTAAAAAGGCGTAGAAAAGCCGTGAAAAATATTGAGATTTGATAACAAATTCCCATAAACGATCTGTTGTTAAGAACTTTATGGAATTCCCCTTAAACAGCTTAAATTAACCGCACTACATGACCTGCCAATTAGTACCGGAAACCCGAAACACATTTCTCCAGAAATCCAATGTGCAGCAAATTTTCTCAGAACCTTTTAGGTTGGTTTGTCTGGAATAGTGCGGACGATATGCAAACTGTCACCCCACCTGTTGGAAATCTTAAATTTTACGTTAATAATTCACCATTTGGTGAACGATGTTGCGAGGATGAGAATGTTAAGAATTAAAAGAAAGCTTGAAATCAAAAGTTCAAATAGCGAATGAAAAGTCAAAAATAAATTTCAAGGCTAAACTTAAAATACCTATGTGTAATTTTCCACTTTTTAAAGAGAATGATTGTTCTAATGACATATGTAACAACAATTTCTATTTAGTTTCTGCTATAATTCCTGCTAGAAAGTTTTTACAAACTATTTCATCGACCATCGCTATAACTTTACTTACGTAATGGTAACGTACGCTATCTTATAGAAATCTTATGTGCGATTCTTTCTTTTTCTTGTTATTGCAACCTTACAATGCATTTAACTAGTCTCTTTTTCATTCTTGCCATTTTCTATGCCAAAAAAATTTCATTTCTATCTGAATTTTATTATTTATTCATGCCATCGATTGATATTATTCGTACTTTTATAGTCTTGTTTTCGTTAATTTGAGAATTAATTAATTACTTTCCCACAACTTTTGTAACAATCATTCCTATCGATGATCCTGTTAATTTGCGGCACGTACTATTACCTCCGTACTATTATCTGATGCGCGTGACATATTCAATTTCGATCATGATATTTTTCTCGTCTTTTCAGGAAATGCTCTCAGCTCATTCGAAATCGCTTCTCTAAAATTTGCATTGCAAATATTTCAAAAGAAAATTTAGTTTCGTATAAGAATACTTAATTCATTTAGATCTCCGGTATTCAGTTCAGTCTTTTATGCTTCTATTCATAAATGGAAGTTGTATTTACAGATTTAAATCATTTCCATAGTGAATAACTCATTGTTGACATTCCAACTTTAATAATGAAGAAACATAACCGCTTCTAGCCAAATGTTTACGATTTCTTGATTATCGTAAACACATATAGTATCCTTTCCGTTTTTGAATGATTCAACGCTTAACAATAACATCCTTTTAAGCTACGCTGAAAAGTCGATTTATAGTGAATGCATATATTCAATATTATACAGTCTTTGATTACATGGTGGAACATTGTTGAGGATAAGAAAATAAATTACTGATAGAGATATCTCAGACTGCTCTTTTCAAATTTTCAGACTTTCTCTGTCGTATTTGCTCTGCTGCTCGATTTTATCGGCTTCATCAATAATTCATGACCGTCTGACCATCTCCAATCTCCTTTTGGAGCCAATCAAATGAAAAATATACGGCTGAAACATCTATTCATGCTCTTATCCTTTTCACTATTCAGGCTTTATCAAAGAATTCACATCGCTGTAGATATTGCTCATAAGACAGAAATTTGAACTGGGCGCTATTGTTGTTAGCTAATTTTATAATATCAAATAACGGAGAAAAATTTAATTTTTCTACACGTTTACAGTTTTACGATATATTCTGTTGGACTTATAAAACTATTTTTAATCTTAAAGTTATAAGTCATATTTGGACTTAATGTTAAATCTTAATAACTAATGATGCTACATACCGAAAAATCACAATTAAAGATGCTATTTTTATTTTAGTATTATTTTCACAGTAAAATAAATAAAGCTATGAATTACGATTACATAATCATTTCACTAAAATTTCAATCCTGTTTTGAATATTGGTTGGAAGAACATTTCCATGAAATCAATGTTGGAGTGAATTTTTGACGATAAGGGAATAGTAAATTCCTCAGAATTTATTCACAACATATTTATATGGGTTTTATTTCTCAATTATAGTCTTCATCAATTTACTATTTTTGAAATTATAAGTTTAAGAAACATAATGTTAACTTGACAACTTATGACTTGTTCTTAATGTCTCCTTCTCTTTTTATAATCTTTAACTCATTTGTTCAAGTTATTTCCTATCTACCTTTCAGGTTATACTCTATCGACTTGATAATTAATGAAATCTCACTTGATTTCACTAATGAGGATATTTTATCTTTGCTTCAATATTTATAGTTTGGTAGATTCTTTTTACCCATCTCTGCAATATCAACCTTCATGATTATACTTCAGGCTCCTTGGTATCCTTATCCTTCTATATTAAGAGATTTCAAGAAAAAATTGAATTCGATATTTTCGACAGTAAAGTATGCACTGATCTGGGTTGAAAAATGCAACATTTTTAAAGGTTTATGTATTCTTGCAAATCACACTTTACATTTTCTAAACTTCCATCCAACACAGGCAGAATAAAAAAAAATCTATAAGTTTAAATTTTAACGTGATTTCATGGAGATCAATACTATAGACTGAATAAAAAGAAACACCATATAAAAAGAAAAAAATTAAAGATTAAGATAACTACTGTTACCAATGCTACTAATATCATTATCAAATACAAAGTTGCGCTAACAACATCGCTTTCTTTTCGTTTAGCTCTCTGACATGGTATTTCGAATTCTTTGTTTCACTGCTTTTCATAACAAACAATGTTATACTTTTTTCGATGGTAATGTATAATTTACTTATCATAATCATATTTTCTTAAATTTATTAAAAGTGGTAACGTTTGGCGCGTCTTCACTATATGATTTTGATTGTGAATTATAAATTATTTTTGTTGGTTTACAAAATTTTCTATTAACATACCATATCAATAAGACAGTTATTGACATCTAATTCGTGAGAAAAAAAACGTATTCATTAAGCACAATTTTTATTACATCTGCACAACATTATGTTTTAATTACGTGCCTCGTTAAGAATTGAACTGAACTTATGAAATTCAAATGAAAAATTACAAATCCAAATTAAGAGATTACCTAACATCGAATTAAGATCAATGAAATTACTGGAAATTAACCAGTGAAATCCACCTTATCACCCGACACAGCACGTTTGTAAGCTTCTTTTGTTTTATTCAAGTATAACTTTGCCTTAACCGGATCACGCTCGATTCCATCACCTAGGCTATACAACCTGTAGTGAAAGAAGTTAGTTTAAAAAGTATTACATTCTACTCAAATATTCAAAAGAGTAGTATGTAATTCTGAAAATTCGGATAATTGCTCAACTAGTGAGAAATAAAATTAAATTAATTCAAAAGATAAATAGCTGACCAGAGCCATGATGCTCACAAAGGATACCGAAACAGTTGAATTTATTATTGGAAATTCAATCATAAAAATAATCAAAACGAACCTGGAAACATTTCCACAGGATTGAAAGCAACCAAAATCACAAGCACGGATACCATATTTGATAGCTAAATCGATATTTCGCGGAAGTTCTCCCAAGTGTGAACTATGCTTCTGGAATGGTAGGTCGATTTACAAAATTCGATGCTTTTGATTATTTATATTTTATATCTACCTATCTATAATTTATTTAATCCATTAAATTACCAATACTCTCTATTGATACTACGATTAAATTTACACGAACCATCAATAGATCGATAATAACAAGTTTTACTCGAAATATATCAGCTTTCGATAACAGTCTTAATTATATTCAAAGAAATTTGCATATTCAAAGAAACAAATACAGATCATACAGTGTTCTAATGAAAAATATTGTCGCAATATTACGGAGCACATGATTAAAAGGTTAAAAATCTTTATCTATTAAGCCAGTCCTTTTTAATTCTTGTCCTCATTTCTTAACCAGATCTTACTCCTTATTGTCTTCTTACTATTTTTATTGATTAAACTTCTAATTCAATGTATTTTATTTATATAAAAATTACAGCGACTGAATATCATCATCGCATGAATCAATCAAAAAACGTCAGTTCTGAAACCACTAGAAAAAAGGATTACACTTACAGTCATAATTTGCAATAAAATCAAAGTTTTTTTTTTTATATTGAATCCAGACAATACAAAATTCTTGTCAAATAACAATGCTAAAATACGGAACTTACAGATTTCGTTGCACCTAATGTAACAAATTCAGCATCACGTCCAATATACCAAGTACTTAATAACCAACACGCTTCCGCATCTTCCAAATCACATGCCCTAAAATATTTCCAACTTGCTATGGAACAAATTAATGAATAGAAATAGTGAGATAAAGTTGAAACTAAACTGTAATGTTACAACTGGCATATTTTACAAAATATGTTTTTATTAACGAAAAAAGAAGAACAGCATTACATTATCTGTATATCGTTATGGTTCTAAAGCTGTTAATCCTTTTCAGATCACCATAAAAGCTTTTCACAAAGTTCATAATTCTAATTGAATATTAACTTCAAAGAGGAAAATTAGTTGAAAGATTACTTTTTCATATATTTCTCGGCCAGCTCAGAATTCGGCTTTCTATCTTTTTCACCATTCCAATGAACTAGTGATAAAAAACGACACCCTTTTGGCATATTAGCTTCACACGACTTCTCCAGCGGCTCGATCATCTTTTTTCGGCTGGGTTCACATTCTGAAATTGGATTGCTATCACAATAAAGTATTTTGCAGTAGTAAATATAAACAGTGAATAAAAAGATGAAATAACGAATTTTGATTTGTATTTCGCAGATTAAAAATAGAAGATTTCTACGAATTACAGAGAGATATCCACTAAGAAGGATTATATAATCAACAATTAAAATAATAATGCCTATTTTTTGCCTTGTTAAGCAAAAAATAACGAATTAAAATTACCATTTCGAAATTCGACTTTGGAAGAAAATCAATTACATTATTCATAAATTTTTTCTGATCAATAGATAACGAGATTTCATCAATATTAACTATTTAAGTAGCATTCAGAATTACAAACTTTCCATATTCAGAAAATATGGTGTAATTTTAAAATTCTTCCAACAAATTAAAACAATCTGGAAATAATTACTAAATTGTTTGAATGCAAAACTTGTCTAAATATGTTCATTAGTCACATTATATACGCCGAAAGTTACCTGTAGGTAATTGATGAAAATTAAACGCGTGATAAGGGTTTGAATATCACTAGCAAGATAACGCTTCACTTTAACCATCAGTTACTTTAACTTATGTTTATCAGTGCTATTAAGTTAATGAATTTATTACAAAAGATGAATAAATTTAAGCAAAAAATGCTTGGGTATCACAGTAAACAAGTGAAAAATAATATATTTGTATCCGTTACTGGTTGGAACGAAACAAGGATGATAACTTAGCTTTTAATTCAAGTGGTACTCAAGAAAAAATCTTTAAGCATTTCATTTTAGGAATAATTATATTATTATAATTTTGTTATAATTGATTATTATTATAATCGATTGTTATATATCTATATTTCGCTAAATTTCGATATATAATCTTTACTATCATGAATTTTGTTCGCTTTTTTTCTCTATTCTCAGTTACCACGAATGATCGCATTCCAATTTATTTCTTCTTTAGTGATGCATTAGGAATTACTTTAATGAATGCTAACCTCTTCCAGCTAGAAGATACATAGCATATTTAAAACAGCTTCTCGGAAATCCTTTTTCTTCACAATTTGTTTTAAATATATTATACGCCGCTTTGAAATTTTGATCGATTGCTTCCATGTATTCTCCCAATAACTGACACATTTCAGGTCGCTTTTCCTGAAAAACATCAAGAATAGTAAAAATATGCAGCACAAATAGTTCAAAATTAACTCTTAAACTCCGAAGATAGTGCAGTTAACTTTTATTGTCTTTGAAAGATGTTAAGTCTGCTACAAATCATAAAGGAAATTGATGGATTTTAGAAATTTAGAAAAGATACTGCAAGCATTTCTTCTCGCCTAAGATAATTTAATTCCCTAACAATACATGACTATATATTAATTTAACCAATCATTTAGCTAATTTGAGTTCGGCATTATTTTACGAAACAAATTGGATGCATATAGAACCTCATAGCATCCAAATCTATACTCGATACCGATATTTTTCACATATTCTCGACGTTCTGCTTGCTCCCTTTCGAAATCTTCTTCGCTTGCATCTTTCTCAAACATCTAAAAAAAATAAACGGCAAAGAACAAATGAATTACGATTCATGCATATTATTATTTTATTACTTAACCAATTACCTGACTAATTCACTATTATCTGATATCATTATTTTATTCGAACATTTATACAAAATAAAACAGGAAAAGTTGCATTTGGCATGAGCCTTTTAATATTATTGCCAAAGTAATAATAAAAAATAAGACAAACAGAGAAAAGGAATACAAAATTATGTCTTCAAAAAAGACATTTGTTTAATGTCGGATAAAACCATATCTCAATATCATAATAAATAACAAAATGCTTTAAAATATTATCATCGATTACATGCAAAACATCATTGAATTGTAACTACTCATTACTGTAAACAAACATATGCTTAATGACCAAACTATGTTACGGAATAAATGTTTCGAACTTCTCGGGTCCTATAAATGATTCCGTACATTGATTTCTTTCCGGAAAAGTTTTTCTGGAAAAAATTGATAAAACAGTCTATGTATTATGCTAAAGCAACTCATCACTAGTTTCTTGGTTCCAAGTATCATTCAGTGGAAAATAACTCAGTTTCCAGTAAATTCTACCTACTTAGGATTTATGTTATAAAAATTTATCAACCAATGCGATAGAATGTAGTAATTGTGAATGGATTAGTCGAGAACTGACTACATAATTTCAGGTACGAAATATGTGTGTTCGTACTAAGTGCCTCAGTTTTAAAAAATACTGTGAAACATTTAAAATGCGAAATTCTACTCAATAACCTTCGAAACAATCAACATAACGTGGGACAGCATAGACCAATTGTTTATTAAAAATAAATGGTGAACTCAGGATAAACATTAAAAAAAGACTCAATATGAAACAAAAGTAAAGACATCAACAGGAATAATGTAATTTATTACAGTGACAAACATATTTTATTCGTTCAGGTGAGGAAACTATAATTTAAAAACTTTTCTCCCAGAACTGGGAAAAAGCAAGGCCTCACAGCGGGAAAACAATTTATCGAAATACATTCATAATCAAACAATATTCCCCTCTTTGCTAAAGTATACATATTAGTGCGCGCCAGATTTAAAGGAAAATTGTTTGCTTCATCTGCTTCTGCAGTTATTGAAAATCCCATGCAAAGACAAGCAAATAAAATTCTTATCCACAGAGATGCAGCAAAAAAAGCCAGAAGGCGATATCATTTATCAATGAATGAAAAAATAAAAAAGCATACTACACTTTCAACAATGCTGTCTGATACAGTAACATAGCGAAAACAATTCACTACTTCCATAAATGAAAGGCTAACAGCCATACATTTTTTTTGTCAATGTAAGTTTAGAATGAAGTCAATACAATGAACAGATTTGAATAATGTACCATCACTGTAGAAGTACCACCATTTTGAAAGGAATGCTTCATGTTTCTTGATAAAAATTAGTTTCTTAATAAGATTAGCAATAAAAATGTTGAAAAAATGAAATCCACTACCCAGAGAAAAAGGAAAACAATTGAAGCACAATTTTTTAGAGAAAAATAGACATTTTCACAAGACAATGTAAGAAAGCAAAAAGAAAAATGAAGTACAACTTTTTCACATCATTTAAAGAAAAGTATTTAATTTTCATTCCAAAAATCGAAGCCTATCGCATATGCAGCAATAGTAATATTCACGTATATGGAAAACTTTCAAGGTCCGCGACTTTCTTCACCTTGATGTTCGAGTGCATCAAATTCCGCCTGCAATCATTCACAAATCACGAAATTCAGCGTTCTATAATAAATCCAGCGTTTTAAAATATATCTGTAATATTTCTAAAAACAAATGTTGATAATGACACTTTCCGTTACACATTTTTAAAAGCTGGAAAGTGGAAGCAAAACCACAAGAAAGCTCAAACACAACAGATCTAGCCAGAATGCTCACGTAACCCTTTCGGAATTATTTCAAATTCCACGATAATCCATAGGACTTAAGATCTGAACAGGCATACATAGCGAAGTTGAAAAGACTCCGTGATATTCGGATTTTACTTCTTAAAAATGCGGTTAAATCACTTTATGTCATTCTAATTTTCAAAAAGCAGTACCGCTGCTTCATCCATGCGAGCTAATATGTAATTAGCAGCAAGATCTTCATTTTTATCGCATGCAAAATACGCCTCGATAACCAACTGCTCCGGAAAACCCATGGATTTTAGCTGAAATGAAAAAAACACCACCAACTGTAACAGCTGATAAGATTCACTTCTAGCGAGAAAACCTGCCCTAAGAAATCACTTAAATTCTGAAGTTAATATTTCTTTCAAATTGCAAGTCATGAATGAAATAAACAAGAGAAAGAAAATTACCCGATTAATTGCATCTCGTTCAGCTTCAGTAACATGAATGGCAACTTGGCGCTGTTCTCCAGTAGGAGGTACTCCACCACCACCACCTCCACCGCCACCACCACTTCCAACAGAACCATTATTTAACAGGTTGACGAATTCTTCCTAGAATTACATTTAGTAATATCTTTTTTTTTAGATCACTAAAAAAATTACTACATGTAATAATCTTACAATAAGTTATATGTTTAGTATATATGCTAAGATGTAGAAATAATAAGAGATGCAAGTTGCACCAAATGAACTTCAAGACATTTAGCATTACAATCTTATTTTAGTTAATATTTTGCAATATCATGAATTCTGGCAAATTTCAGGGACAACTGCAAAAGATTTCTGCAAATAATAGTATGTAGCAATACAAAATGTATAGTAGAATTATCTATCAAGTAAGAATATACTTCTTCCGTTTCTGACATAAAGCAGATTCACCTCCCCAATTGAAATCTAAAATTCTAAATATGTACTTGATTATTTTGGATGGCCTCCATGAGTGCTGGATTCGACTGAGCTATTTGCTGAATAATTTGGGGAAGAATAGCAGGATTCGACTGAACCAGTTCTCGAAGTTGCTCAAATTGCGGCAATTGGCGTAAGAAACCAAGACCTAGACCTTGTCCTCGTTCTCCTTCTTCATGTTCCGCTGATTCTTGCTGTCCTGTAGAGATTTTTATCAAAAATAAACGAACGATAATAAAAAGTGAACAAAAGGATGCACCACTATATCTTCCAACTTTTGTACATCCTTTATTCGCATAAATTAGATCAGCTTCCAATGATAGAAATAAAAAAAACACACTGCTTTAAGTGTGTAACTTTAAGAGTTAATAAAATTAAACCAACCGACCTCCTAAATCTTCCTCCTCTGGTATTCCTGAACACAAATATTCAACAGCACGATCACCATTGAAAAATGAAGCCCGCAAAGCCCGAATCACCTAAATCACTAAGAGATGTAGCAAAAATTACACCGAAAAAAGTTCACGTACTTTGAAAGTAACTAACTTTATCACGAGGATAGCCCATTGCCACAATTGCCTGAGCTGTTTCTTCCTGTTCGGGGGTTAGACCATCTGAAAAACATTCCTTTTTGAAGAAACAATTTAAGAGCCTGACATGAAGATTGTAAAACTTCAAATTAGGTGACACGGAAGATGATTCAAATTTAATATTAGCCACGATGATCAATATTTTTGTCACCAACATTTTTCGTAAGACATTATCTGCAATGGATTTCGTAAATCTAATTATAAAACTGGAAAAAAAAATCGACTGGAAGATAATGGCAAACCACCGATACTCCATTAAGTGTGTGAATCAACTTTACAATGAATTAACGGAATTCACTGGCTGATTATAAATGCTAAACTATCTATTAACCTGGATTTTGTGGTGTCGCTGGGCTGCTATCCGTCACAGATGCTGGAGTTACTGATGTAGTTTGTGCACCTATGGGTACTTGTAGATTTGAAGGCTGAGCGGTCGACTCGACAGGAGCAGCTCCAACAGGCTTTTTCTAAAAGTATTGAAATATATAACAGCAAAGGTAATAAAGTAAAAGATATTCATACGATCTCCTAAGTAACTTTGTACGACTGAGTACCTTTGCAACGAAGTCATCGGATTAAAGATTCTATTTCTATGATTATGGAAAATTACTGTCAATTTAATCGATGTAACATTATATAGAACAAGATGATTAAACAGTATGATTACAAGCCGCACTTTTTGTTGTGCATAGAAATCAACTGAGTAAGTTTTTTATCATAAATTTAACTAAATTTTCAAGGAAGTCTGTATCCATAGGTAGGAGATGAAGCCATGATTCGTATTTCATTATTAGATAATTCCGCTAATTTGCAAAAACAATTTAAAAACACTCAAAATGTGATACTTACTCTTGTAATCATAATGACAACAAATTTTGAAGGATCAATCATCACTTCCTCAACTGTCTGAGCATCGTCAAGAACCTGAAAGTAGCTCTAGCTATATCATTGAAAAATTTGTAAGAAATCAGTGTCTGAATTAATTGCCACTAAATCTACACTAAATTTACAACACAAAAATAAATTCGTAAGAAAAAACTAATATTTCTGAACTTACTTTCCCATTGTAGATGAGTTTTTGACATTCAGTGGGATATTCTGCCTCACCCTTCTCTTCCGCTATTTTCGCTTTTACTTCGGCAATCTAAGACAGTATTTTTCAGTTAGAACAGAAAATACACATAACTTCAAGTCAATTCTTTGACAAATTTTAAACAGAAAAAACTGTACAAGTAATTTAATGGAATGTAAAAAATTAAACAGATAAGAGTAGTTAAATTTTTCTCCACAAAAATCGAAAGAACTTTCCGTATTATATCTTCGACAGTAATATGCCAGATCAGAAGTGCACTTGAAATAACTTTTGCAATATTCCGTCTTTACACCCTTTCTTTCAAAACAAATACGTAAACAGTAAAAATCATTAATTTACGGAGAAATCTACCGTTAAATGAGGATCCAATTCGATTTCAAAGCTCACTTGTGCAATGGTCTTAAAAGTGACCAACATTACTATTTTAATATGACCCTGAAAATTGGTCGAAATTTTAAAAGAAATCAATCCAACTACATATCACGTTATTGAATTAACAAAACATCATAATTTCACATCCACTGAACTACAAGAAAGAACCATCCGATGTCCAGTAGTATCGTCACTATTCATCTTAATTTGAATTAACAACTACAACGTTATATATGTATCATACAAAAACTTCTAGATATTCAAAGAATTATGTTCTTCATGATTCAAATATATACCGGATAGTGCTAAGCATCAAATGAACTTCCACAGATTTTAGCTGTTTATTTTAATTTATTCGATGATTGAAAAGTTCCTGTACAAAAGTTCCCTTTATAGATCTGACGCTACATTATCTCAATTTATTCAATAAGTTTTGACTTTTCCAATTTTTCTACAAGCTATCGATGATTTACGACAATTAGTTTCCTAACAATAATAATGAACCAATGAATTTGCCTATATCCGCGTTATGTTATTGTATGCATTTTATGAGAACGACATAGATTAACTGAGATCTCATTTTAATGTAAGAAAAATCAAACTGGAAAATAAATTTTAAATGGTTCCTTGCAATCAATTTGAACAGATAAGGCAGCAAGCAACAAAGCATAACAGGTCATTCCTAGCCAGAATTATTCCAGAATCTTCACTAAACAACAAGAAACATCATGTCCAAGGACAAAGTTCATCAGGTCACGTAGGGCAAATCAACAAACGGCTAACCGCCGAATGGTTACTGGTTACTATGAAAATATAGAGTCTCAGAAAGATGATAATACGCTTTACAGCTTTGTTACCATGGAGTCTTTTTTCCGGAACTGCAAACATTGGGTTCTTATTTTGGAGATAGAAAATGTGAATAATCTTCCATAAACATTATTTCCTTGGAATGATATGTGATAGTGAATGGCCGTTCCGGATTAGTTCATCAATAAGTTGATTAATTACCTGTGGAATTCAGCCAAAAAAAAAATGGATTTGCTTTCAATATCATCATTAGATTATATAAGAATTTTAAGAAGAAACAAATGTATTCCATAAGAAGTCGCGTCATATTCCTTTAGTCTTTCCATTCGGTTGTAAAATTTTAAGGCCTTTCTGCACCGTTCTAGAAGATACCTTCAGAAAGCGAAATTTATCCAAGAAAGATTAATTGAGAAAGAACGCCGTTAAGTGGAAGTAAAAAAGGAATGAAATAAATGATAATAGCAAATTGTACAAAAGGATACTTTCCTTTTGCATAACTTTTCTTTGCCTCATTTCTTTCTCTCTTCAATTATTGAGAATTCAGGAAAATTTCATGCCTTAAAGAAATGTCAGTTGCTGTAATTACAGGATGGATACAAACAATGCAAATTTAAAAATTTTCTTCAATGAATTTTAGTTTACCTGTTAAAAACATAATTAATTGACTGTCCTCTCTGAAGGTTCATTTTTTTTTAGTTTTTCAATATATGCTAAAATTATAACTTTCCATATAAAGTTTATTATGTCGACTTTGATTCACGCCAATCTTTGTTTTTATTGTTCGTAAATTGGTACAAATATATTGTTTCCATATTTCGAGAACTTCAGGATCAAACTGACCGCACCTGAGGAAAAAAATCAGTTTTCAATTCTCTTGATCTACGATATATCAATCAATAGTTTCATTTTGTGCGCTGGAAAGTTTTTGTTTACGCATATAACTTTCGCATATAATTTTGTTTTCAATTTATTTCATTCATGTGTTAATTTTATATTTTCATAAACTTAGCAATGAGTCTAATTGTTAGGCAATAATATTTATCAATATTTTTAACGAAAGTAAAATTTACAAAATGACTAAAATTAATTGCAATTCAGAATGAGTGAAATTCTTAAATTAAGAAATCGTGTTTGTAATCAGTCTCTGATATTTTATATTCTTAAATATGTTTTATTCGATAGCAAGATTTTACTCTCTAAGAAAAGAGAATTTGTTGAAATGAAATGATATTCATGAATTGAAAGCATGTCGTAGCAGAGGCAAGCAATTTCAGAAATTACATCTAAATTGAGAGTATTCTTATTCTTTACTTTCGTTTACTTTCTACTTGAGCCAAGAAGGAAATTTCTCCTTTAAAAATGCATATTTGTTGTTACAGCATTTTTACTTCCATTTAATTTCGAAAATTTTTACTCACTTTACTCAGGCCTAAATATTTTTCATACTAATTCTCTTTTTACTGGGTAAATTGTTCGGTCTTTTCTGCCATACCTAATTTTCCAATTTCTCATAGTTGAAAGTAACTGGAAAGAACTTTAAGGAGGTGTCATAATATCAAGAAACGTTGGTATGATTATCAGTTGATTTTCGCTTCTTCGAACTGGAAAGACATCGGACTAGAATGAATCTATTGCAGTATGATAGATCATTCTAATCCGATGTCCTTCTAATTCAAAGAAGCGAAAATTAACTGGTATTTTATAAGGATACAAAAAGATATGGTTAATGAAAAGGCTCTATTTTTATATTTTTTTAACACGACGGTAAATCAATGGAAGTATTTTTAAAGAAAAAATGTAAATCTATTTCAGATCACAATGAAACGTTTTCGATTTAATTCTAGTTTTAAAATGATACAATGTTAAAAACACTTTACTAGACTACTCTTTTCTCTTACGATGAGGTTTCATGTTAATAAAACTTTGGTCTTTTTGTACTTGTAAATATGGCATACAACACAGTGTCTCAAACCATATCATCAAGAGGAAGTTTTACTGTAGGAATTTTATTAAATTCCTTATGATCTATCGATATTAAAAACATTGAGGAGCTACGAAAACATCTTTTTGCTTAGTCGCAAAAAGTTTCCCATTGAATAGAGTTTCATGCAATATTCCTTACAACTTATATCGTAGAAACTGCAAAAATGTAATGCAAAATAACAGATTCATTGTGATTTAATATGAATAATTTAATATAATAATGACAGTAAAGATGAGATATGTTTGAAAAAGAAAATATTTTCACTGCAACGATGTCCAATTATGTATACAAAAAAATTCCTTTATCTGAAACACAGAAGCATGGCTAAAAACGGTAATAAATTGATGAGGAAATATAATCGAGTTTGTACAGTATTTAGGTCTTTTATAGATGATGAAATAAATTTTTTTATAATAGAAGAAAATAATTGCGAATAAATAACCTAAATTTTTTTCAGATGGAGATATACTGAATTATGATTTTTTATTTGTGACTATTTATTAGTAATGGAGTTCATGAGATAGTTGTAGCTGATTTGATTTTTTAAGAGAGTGAGGATCAACAGCCTCTGTTGTTGGAACGATACAGTTTTTGCAGTATGGCATCTGCGAAGTTTTATGATGCGGGAACTGAACTTATTTGTAGTATTCAATGAATGATGCATCCTTAACTTACCACAACCCATACATGTTATGTTATCCGTTACTACAACAACATGTGTGACATGTCACCTTCGTTGTTATGAATGGATTATATCACCAATGAAGCGATTGATATGTTAGCAATATATTTTCACGAGATTAGATAATTAGCTGTTTGTAACAATTTATCGTATGCGCCTGAATGTTTGACGATTGAAGACAAAATAAGTTGTAATCATCTATCAATCTGGAGCGATGTTATTGACAATGTAGGACATCTCTGAACAATATCCATCGGATCATTACATTTATGAAATTGTATGCGCATCGTTTCATTACCATTCACCTTGTTTGTTTACAACTTGTAATTCGAAATTACTGGTTTTGAATCTAATTTACTTCTTGGAGAAAAAAAATAGTTTTTTAAAATAAATTTTTCAATCGGTTTATTTTTTTCGAGATTGGAAATTGAAATTAATTTTCCCTTTCAAATTGTTGATCGAAATCATTCGAAATATTATTTTTTTGGTAGTAGAATTAGTCGAAATGATTAATTCATTCTATCGTAAATTTTACCGAAATAAATTGCAGCAGTAATATCTCTTGCTGTACTACTTTCTCAATCTACTGATGACCTTCCATGCAATACGCTCTTCAAAATGGGTTATTTACTCCCGTTGCCGGTTCATTTCTTTACACGCATTATTCATAATATTGTTTCTTAAGTCTTTTGAACTATTTCTAGCTATTCTTTCAATTATTGTTGAAATTTTAAAGTGGAAATTACTCATATAATGTTAGTTCCATGCGACTTTTATTGCCTGATGTATGGAACAAGACTTTTGGCAGTCTAAACTTTAAACTCCATATCATTTCAAAAAATAAATTTCATAGAAACATATTCGTAGAGTTTCAATAATACAAGATTTCTAATAAATCATTACTGAACAATACAATTATTATGAGTCGAATGGAAGGCTCGTACTCAATAAAATAATTTTTTGTCGATTGAAATTATTACTCATTAAATATTTCTTGAAAAAATGTTCGGTATCTTCTGACATAATATCAGTCTACGATTTGCATTTTGCAGAAAATTGAATGAAACGAAATACTGTCGGCAACACTCAAAAAATTCTTTCTTTATCCACGTGTCACTCGACAATGAGTCGGCCAAACAGAGAATCTTTACCGAAATCTGGATCATCAGATAAAGTTTCGCAGATCTGTGATAATGCTATCGTCGACAAGACGCATCTGGCATCCATATGTACACATCTTTGTAATCAAGTTAGCACTTTTTGGATGGAAGAAAATTTTTAGAATTAAGTCTAGTCTAATCATACATAAAGAATGATGTATTGACGTCTGTACCAATTAGGTATGACATTATATCGTCATACTTTATTAAATAAGTATTGTTATATGAATAAAAATTATTCACTGCGGTTTACTTTTGCTATTCAATTTTTTTTAGTTCAATTATTAATTAATAATATTCAAGGACATATCATCTGCAACAAATATTTTCGATAAAATTAAAAAAAATAACAGACATTTAAGGCGAAATAATTGAAGAGAGAAAAGATTAAGAGAAATGAAAACGAACGAGAGGAAGTAATCAAAATCTCATCCCGAAATGTTCCCATTCTTGAATCATAACGGAGGTGACTATATTGATGGTAGTATTGGCTTGTGCTCATTTATCTTGTCTTTTTGTCTCTTCCTTTCATTAATTACTTGAATTTCTTTCGTTTTCTGTCGAAAAAAATGTCTCAGTAGCCTTAACTTCAGAGTTAAAGCCAGAATTCGAGCAATGTAATTGCAAAAGTTCAGCGCAAAACATCTATCATGCACGCAAATGTCGTTGTCACTATAATAATTATATTCTAATGAGAGAATTTAAACTTTCTTTTACAATATTAATTTTTTATGTAAAAGTTAATATTGCAAAAGCAAGTTTAAAGTTGGAGCAATTTGCAGCTAAGAACTATCATTAACTTGTTGATAGACTTTGCTGTGGATGTTTGCGATGAATCAGCAAGTGCGCGCAGTTTGCTTCGCGAATTAGAGGTCACCTTTGCTCCAAATAACAGTTTTTAATCTTTTTTTCCAGAAATTTATTTTAAAAAAGGTTTGAAAATTCATCAGATAAATACAGTTATGTAAAAAAAATTTTCATATTTGCAGATAGATATTGTTGGGATTAAAGCGAAATAATCTATAATGAGTAATGGAATGCAGTCATTATATTTTAGGAAAAGGTATTGCCGTTTCTGATAAATTTAGACATCGAAATGACCGCATCGGAGAAACTTATCCGGACAAACATTGATACAGCAAGGATTGGTGAAACTAAAGTGGATTGGTTGTTGAAATTCAATAAGTGCAAGGTTTCTTCTAACTTAAATATTATTGGTTTAACGGGACAGAATAATGAAAATCAATGATCATAGGAATGAGACATAGAAGAATAAATAACAGTTGACTAGCAGATTTCCTTGGAATTTATTTGGTGAATTAAAATAAATTTGAGAAATCATAATTAAAATCGAATCGCTTCTAATTGCGGAATTATATGTGCATGGATTAACTCAAATAAGTTCTCCTATTTCTCTTTTCAGATTGACTTAGTCTGGAATTAGAGTTATTCAAAACAAAGATAAATCTAAATTGCAATCTTGCAACATCAGTGAGTATTAGATGAGTACGAAATTAAATCGTGAAAAAAATCTTGCTCTAAATGAGAAATTCACCTGGTTACTTCCACTTATTTGAGCTGGAAATGCGCGAAATACTGGTCACCATTTCTGGCACAGTGTACGAAGATTTGGAACGAGTGCTATCGTTGAGGTCTCGAGGTTGTGATGGTATAAGTTTCAAACAAGAATTAATGCGTTATTTACGTCAAATGAAAAACAGCACTGATAAATTGCATAAACAAATCAAACTGGAACAAATGGTGCTTACTCATTAGGCAGTGATGTATACCGCGAAATTTTCCGAATTTTCTTGTTGATATATTTTTGCTTATGAAATATTAAAACTTGTACATTTAAAGAAAAAAATCTCAGAAAATAGTGCCTCCAATATTAACATGAAAATTTTTTGCAAAAGACAACTTAATTCACTATTCAAAGTGAAATTCACTATACAATTACACTCAACATCCTAACCAAAACACTCTGCAATAATGGCATTCAATTGACGCCATTAACAAACTATTTGAAAATTGTTTTTTTGACATAATAAAAATAACGAGTATTGAAGAAAGCAAAAATTACCGAAAAATTTGACTGGATCCCTATAAATATTCACTAAGTCTACCGCGGATTCCCGAATGATGACTTTGCTGAAGATGCTAAGTAATCGAAGTTCTCACCTCTATGCCCGTTAATCGTTATCTGCGGATTTCTTCGGATGGTGCAAAGAAAAGTTATGCTGTATGTATTGATGTATCAAACTGGAGAAAGAGAGCACATTGCTAGGGATTAATGCGGTAGGAAAATAGTACGAAAATTAGAAATACGACGGAGATTAATAAGATTCACGTAATAAGGACGTAAAAAAGAGAGAGAGAAAGAAAAGAAAAGCGAGTTGCAGCTGAAATGAGTTAAAAAAGAGAATACGGACATAATAGAGAACGGAAATGGGTTTGGATGCGAGTTGCAATGCGAACGGGAATGGGGAGAATTGTCGCGGTTAAGGGAGATGATACCGCGAAGTCTCAGAGGAAGAAAATGGAAATGGGATGTGACGGGAAGGAGAAGAGAGTCGTTATCAGTACGATAAATGAAGCAACATTCCTTGCTCTTATCTGCTTCGCTGTTATTGTCCAGATTGCATTATCATTAGGATCTTATTCCGGTTTGTTTCCGCTAAGCTTTTTCTTAGACCTTTCATTATTTAGTTGCATCACATTTAATGTAAGAAGTTCGTTTATAATTTAAATACTAAAAGGAAGCGTTTTATGTTGACTATCATATTGTATTGGAAATGGATCATCGTATTTTTGCTTTCTTCTGATACTGATAAGTAATCGTCTAGGTCATGCTACTCCGCCGATGCATGGTGATTTTGAGGCTCAGAGGCACTGGATGGAAATCACATATCATTTGCCTATCAATCAATGGTATAATTTGACTGTACTAAAAAATCATCAAATATTTTATAGCCCTTCATTGAAATGAATTGAATTTTCTTAGCTAAGAATTTTTGTATGCAAACTGAAAATTTATTTTGGCAGCAAGTATTTCCTTAAGATTTGGATCTTTTATGACAGTATTTTTTGTTAGAGTTTTACCTCTTTTAAAAGTCTTTGATATGAAATATATCCAGATCTAACTAATTTTTTTTAATAGGTACGTAAATAGCAGTGATAATGATTTGAATTACTGGGGATTGGATTATCCACCTCTTACGGCTTATCACAGCTGGCTTCTCGGAACTGTGTGAGTCCATCCGTATTTGCGCTTTTATGTTCCAGTTGCTTCAGAATTTACATGCAGTTACTATAATAAATAGATGGAAACTAGATTGCGTAGATGAAGACTTAAATTTTTTTTGCACAATATTGAACAATATTTGGCATCTTATTGTTACTATATTGAACAACAATTATTTGGCATTTTATTGCTTGAAATTAAAGGCAGAACTTTTTCACACGAAAACAGTTGGAAAATTGGGATTAAGAGAAAAAAATGAGAAAATGCATCATGTAAACTTGAATCGCTATGTAATGGATACATAATTTGCAGTTGAACTTCATTCTTTTTTAGAATAATACTGGAATATTTATATGATTTGGAACGTAAAATCTTATTTATTCTTACTGTATTGATTTTTTTATCTGTAACACTTAGTTCAAATGATGACATTTTAGAGCGAACAAGCTCAATCGTTCATGGATCGAGCTGCATAGATCAAGAGGAATCGAGACAGAATCTCACAAAATCTTCATGCGAACAACTGTTTTAGCAACATATTGGATAGTTTATGTTTCTTCGCTGTTACTTTCAATCGGTTTTTTCCGCAATATTTTATCTTATAGAATGGTAAACTTTATCTGAAGTTCGTTTTAAAAATAAATATTCGTTTTATTAATATTTTTTAAATAGAGCTGTATTGTTCTTTAAAAAATGATGTTCAACTACTGTGATTGAAGTTCTGAATAATATCTAAACAAACTCCATTTAAAAACTTAAAAAAACGTTATATATTGCAGCTTAATTATTGCGCAACAGCTGTGCTCTACCCAGGATTATTGGTCGTAGATAATGGTCATTTTCAGTTGGTTTTGAATTTTTTATCTAGGACTTTTACACTATATTTTTTCTTATTTAGAGAAGTTCTATAGCGGTAATTTATATTTTTTTTTCGTTGAAATAAGAACAAAATTATATCATTTTCTTTATGCCCATGTGTTTATTTACTGAACGAAAAGAAGTCATTTGCTATATTTTAATTGCTTACGATTTCAGATATAATCACGTATCGCTTGGTTTATTTCTGTTTTCATTTGCTTGCTTTGTCTCAAGTTTTTTAAAACTTGGTTCAATTTTTTTTGTGCTGGCATTAAGCTTTAAGCAAATGGAGTTATACCATGCCTTACCGATTGCCATTTATTTATTGTCAAAATCATTTCCAAACGATAATCGATTAAGCATGAACCAGAGGTTTTTTTTGTTTAGTTTTGTTAGCACAAAAGCCAAGAAAAAAGTATATGGGTAGCCGGCTTTATTTTTATTTATTAAACTAAAGAAATAAGTGCTCAATTTTATGTCCTGCAGATATCTTTCCTGGATAAAGCAGTTATTTATACTGTTTATTACTGTGGTCGTTACAATTTGGTTCATCTGGCTTCCTTTTTTTGTCACCAGATCTGATTTAATACAGATTTTGCGTCGGATTTTTCCATTTCACCGTGGCATTTTCGAGGTACAAAAGTACATTCTTTCACTTGGCACTTTTTTTTTATTTCAAATTAAAATTGTGGAAGATATTATCTAACAACATTTGTTTAGGATAAAGTGGCGAATTTTTGGTGTTCTATTAATGTATTGTACAAATTGAAGGATAATTTTGAAATACCTGTTTTGTTACGCATGAGGTACTCATTTTAAATTTCCTGTTTTTCTTGACTATAATTCGATCAAATTTTTTATTAGCAGTTATAATTGTATTTAGCAACTGGTGGATTTGTTGGTTCACGAAATTTTTGTTTGTAGTGCCATAATGGTTCTTGTAACGAACATTCCATGGTTATTGTGTTTGTTTTACTATCCGACAGTAATCAACTTCAAATATGGCTTGTTGGCATCCAGTTTATCCTTCTTTTTGTTTTCATTTCAAGTTCATGAAAAATCAATCCTTCTTGTAGCACTGTATGTTTATTCTGGATTTTTTAAATGTCAGTGATATTTTAGATCCTGCTCGAAAATGTCTGAAATATTTCAGGCCTGCTATATTATTATGGAATGAAAGTCCTGTGTTTGTTTCCTGGCTGTTGATCATCTCAAATACGAGGTTATTATATTTTTCTTTCTTATCTTTACTGAATTTAACATTTGTTTTTAAATGTGGTAAATTATCACTAAGAATTGGTACATTTCAAAACTTTATTAGTTCATTATAGACTGCAGATGTATTTTTACTGATTAATTTAACCATTGAAGAGAACTCAAGTTGACAACACTGGGTAACTTTATTTTGCAAAGTAATGCGATGCGAGGCAGATTATTTCCAATATCTTGCTAACTTTTTTATGCTTTAAACTTGTTAAGTTTTTTGTTTTCGGCTGAGTTAAGACTCCACCCACACCAGAGCTTGAGTTTTTTATTACTGGGCTTTTGGGTTGTTCTAAAATGGAATAGATATGACCTTTTTGCAAAATGAAACTTGTTTTGGTTTTCTACTTACATTTGATAGATGGATTACAAAATACTTTCAGCCTCTATCCACTGTGCATCAAAGACGGCAATGCTATTCATTTAGCGCTGTTTATATTTTATTATATTATTTTGTATACTTCATTCTCAAAACTTTCGGTATTTAAGGTACTTTATATTCTTTTTTAAAACGAAATTGCTATTTGCTTGGAAATAATATCCTGTTGTTACAGAAGATTTCGGTTTCAAGGCTTTGTCTGATTTCCAAGTATCAATAATGACATAACTATTCTTAAATTTATTATCTCTGTTTGTATGTTTCAAAATTATTAGGACATATTTTTAGCGAATGATTGTTCATGGAAGCTGCTTGGCATCGTTAATGTTATGTTTGGCTAGCTTACTTTTTACGCCACCTGCACGATTTCCACACATTTTTTCTCTTCTAATAGCAGTTTACTGTTTTGTTCATTTCATAACGTTTTTCTTGTATATTAGTTTGATTGCACTAAGGTTCAGGTTTAAGAAACTCAAAATTGTACAGTTATTTTTTATTTCAATTCATGATTCCCAATGAGTAGTAATTTTGTTATCCTGTCACTATATTGTTTGATATATAGCCGTATGATTCATTGTTAGTGTTGGTTAGCTTTTCAGTGGAAGTCAAAAATTTATGGCACTTATTCCAGTATCCAGTAACTGTATTTAATTTTTATTTTTTTACTTTTCCAATTGTAATAAATTGTTATAATTCTCAAGTTCAGTCTGAAAGAAGTCTTTAATTCTATCACGCATATTTATAAGTAGCAGCTTTGACAGCATTATATATCATATTAGTTGTGGGTAATGCCTAAGCTAATAGTCACTATAATATCCTGATATATAAGGAAAAATTGGATTCTTTCTTATAAAATAACATATTAATGTGGAGATTTGTGTTCTATATTTATTTAAATATGGCCTATTCGTACTTACTTTTCAGTAAATATGAACATTACTCATGATTAAACATTCTTAGTTGAAACTGTCGCCAAACATGAGATTTTTGAATGTTTTGGGGACTAGATGATATTAGATGAAGTGGAAGCCATAAAATAAATTATTATTAATCTTAAATTTCTCCAATAAGCTGATATAAAATTAAATCAGCTTGCTATAATTCTCTCTCTAAAGATTAATATATAATTCTATATA